ATTTCCAAAAGATTTGGAAGAGAGAAAATTTGGAAGATTTGGTGGATAGTTCATTTCTACCACGACCTGATAAGAATAGAAACTGGACCTTGCTTGCGCGGCCATTTGCTGTATGTCATTGGGCTGTGCTAGTCGATATGTCGGATTATGCATCTGCTTGTGCTTCCAAGTTATGGGCCTTGAGATGGATCATACTTTGGAGTACGGAGTACGGAGTACGGTGCAAGCAAATCATAATAACGATATGTTTTATGTGCTGACACGTCTGTCTCCCAAGCACAGTCGTTCCCCCGGATCTACAGGTCAGGTTAGTGAGACAAGTGCTATCACATCACCCTGCAATCGGAACACATCACTTCCTATGGCCAGAACCTTTGACCCAATTAAGATGCATCATCGGTGAGACTATTAACAAGCATACTGGAATTTGGGCTATAAAAGTAAGCACAATTATTAGCCTTATTATGGTCCCCGATCATACTTTTGGATAGTCTGGGGACATCTCTCCAATCAATTGACTAAGGATATCCGGAACCACCACCCAGTACCCTCGATTAGAGCTTCAAAGGAAACTGCATCAACTGCACCTGAGCCTTTTCCCGAGAGCCAAGTATCCAATAAGCGTGGTTGTATGTAGCTGTGTGATTTTACCCCCACAGCTGGTTCCTGCAGTAGGCCGCACAAGTGAACTGGAATTTTGTAACCTTTTTGAACTTGCATGCGTATATTAATTATATTTTTATGGCTTCTGGTTTCTAAACATCGAAATATGCCATTGACGTGTACAATGTGGGATTTGTATCGGCGATGGCATAGCCCTTGCAGCGACCGGGTAGAAATACCTTACAACCCATGTGGCAACCTTGGGGACTACCTAGGTAGGTACCTAGGTACACCTACCTAGGTACAAAATCGTATCCATCGTATACCTATGCGAACGCCAAACGTTAATCCAGACGATCATTATGCATTTTACAAGAAGGTTGAAAGGTAATTTCGGTAATGACCGAGGCATATGAAATGTAAGATATAAGCCAATGCTGACCGTTTTAGAGCCAGGTTGCACGATGGTTGCCACCGTTGGATAGTCTGATCGGCAAGTACTTAGGATGTGCAGCCCGAACTAGTAACTGATTGGCGTAAGTTACCTGTTGATCGCTAAGCTGGAAAATGTGTGTATTTTAACAAATAATTTGGAAAAGTATACTCCGTGCGGTACCAGACGGGATGCGTGGGGCCTTAATTCTTCCAGGCTATTGGTCCTCAAAAAAGCAAAAGAAGACTTTCTGGATTCTAGGCTTCTTATTTGTCCGACACGTTGATAAGACTAAATTGAGCAAGTGATTGTCGCTGTCATTAGTCCAATCGTCGTACACCTCGTGGCCACACCTCAATTTTTAGAAAGTCTCAGCTGTTTAAATCTGAGTATGAACTACAATTTTTTTTTTTCAGCTGATATTGAAATAAAATAAGGAAGTTTATAATGTATTCCGTACCATGTATGTTGTATAACAACCATACTCCATTTGGGGGTGACCCGAAACGGTACTTTTTTTATTAAAAAAAAAAAGAAAAATAATAATAAGGTCCCCACTAAAGTTAGGTCACCTCACTAAACTCCTCAATCAATGCGATTGGTCTATTCTTACGGGACTGAGCACTTGATGTGCACCCAGTGTCTTTCCCAATCCCGCCCCGGACTGGGTTATTTCTATAATTTCTATATATTATATATTATATTATTTATTTTATTTTGAGACAAATTAAAAAAATAAAAAAAGCACCCGGTTCCTGGCCCACACCTAAACTAGTGACCCGGCAAGTAGAAAGTAGATCACTCATTTATCGCTATCTTTCCCTTGTCTCTCTCTATTTTATTTTCCCCGCTGTCTATTTTTCTTATACTCACACTCTCTCTATCTTTTTTTTTTTGTTTGACTTATTTTAACTATTTTGGGTTTGGGGTTTCCAGATCCTCGCTTCTATATCACTCTCCTTCCTCGACTTTCCCGGTTCCTAGAACCTTGTCCTTCCTTTTTCGACACTCATTACACCTAATTGTCCATTCATTCATTCGGAATCATTATAATCCTACTAATCTACACTTTCAATTGGACTCTCTATATCTCACAGGTATGTACAATCTATACCCTCATTGCTGGTTTGATTCTAACTGGTATAGCACAACTATGGACTCAACATACATGGCACCTACCTCGGTGCAAGGGCAACCATTCGCATACTACCACGACTCACAGAGACAAGGTCACTACCAGTCAGACCTCTCATACTACAACCAAATGCAGTATGAGCAACCACTCTACTCTCCCCAGCCCATGATGAATATGCACCAAATGGCCACCACCAATGCCTTTCGGGGAGCTACCATGAGCTTGACACCAATTGCCTCTCCCCAGCCCTCGCAAATGAAGCCCACAATCATTGTGCAACAGGGTTCTCCCGCTTTAATGCCCTTGGACACTCGCTTTATCGGCCACGACTTGTATTCGTTCCCATCCACTCCTCCGCTGTCCGCCTCGGGAAGCACCATCAGCAGTCCCCCGTCTGCCCATGGCGCGCTACCAACCCCGATTCACGACACATTCTTCACCTTTGACAAGGTGGAGGGTGTCAAGGAAGGATGCGAGACCGATGTCCACCAGGAAATTCTAGCCACCCCGGAGTGGGCGCGCTCTGACTCCCCCCCGATGACGCCTGGTAAGCTTTATAGATCACACTTTGATATGAGAAGTGGATACTGGGAAGTAAGGGCGAAAGGCTAATGATTATGCAGTCTTCATCCACCCTCCTTCTCTTACACACATGCATTCTTCAGACCTCTTGTCTGCAACTTCTTGCCCCTCGCTTTCCCCATCCCCCTCACCCGTACCCACCGACATTCTTGCCTCCCAGTCTCTTGGGTCTAGCCAGTCTTTCTGCGATCCTCGTCAGCTCACTGTTGAGCCGTGTGTCAATGTTCATGCACAGGATCTCCCGCCTCTACCGAATCTCTCATGCGAGGAGGAGGAACCTCGCGCCGTCGTTGGCAGTGCGTCTGTGACGCTCCCCGTCAATGAGAACCCGTCTCCTTCTTACAGCTCCTCGACCCAGGACCCTCTGAGCTCGCTGCCGACTTTTGACAGCTTCTCAGACCTCGATTCTGATGATGAATTGAACCGCCTGGTGGAATTCCACCCTGCCGCAAATGCTGTCTACATGGGTGACAAGCGCCAGCGTATGCACGCCTACCCAGTAGAGGATGATGGATTCCTCAGCGAGCACAGCCTCGAAGACTCCGATGACTCCGAGACTTTCGTTCCAAATGGTTTGCCATCATTCGAGTGGACCCAAACGGCCCAGCCTCAGATTGAGAGTGAGGAGGAACCCATCGAGGAGCCCAAGACCAAGAAGCGTAGCAACCGCAAGTCCCGAAAGATGGCCGCTGACGAGGAGGCTGAAGCAAAGGCGCTGGCCGCCTGCGAGTCCTCTGGCGATTGCTGCTCTGATGACGGATCGGTTGATGACTCAGAGTCTGCTCCCGTCTCGGTCAACCGCCGCGGTCGCAAGCAGTCTTTGACTGAGGATCCCTCCAAGACCTTCGTCTGCACTCTGTGCTCCCGTCGCTTCCGTCGTCAAGAACACCTAAAGCGCCACTACCGCTCTCTCCACACTCAGGACAAGCCGTTCGAGTGCAACGAGTGTGGTAAGAAGTTCTCCCGCAGTGATAACCTCGCTCAGCACGCTCGCACCCACGGTGGTGGCTCTATTGTCATGGGCGTCCTGGATGCAAGTGATGCCATCTCATTCGATGATCAACATGACGCCGGTGCCCTTGGCCAAGTCATGTACGAGGCTGCCCGGTCGAATGAAGTCACCAGTGCTACCTCTGTGGATCGCCGAATGGCGAAGAAGCGCAAGCGTGACTTGTCCTAAAGGACATTGCGCTTCATGATTTGTTTTCTTTTTACGAGACCAAGAGACTTCCTACTGCATATATAATTCATACATTCTTCGGTCGGAGTCTTTCATTGGAACCTCGACTACATTGGTCTTTGGGTTTGGCGTCCGGGCATTTATACTGGTGTCGGGAAACTGGATCATCGGTGCACAGCAACTTGGGTTCCCTTTTTATTATCAGCGTTTTGACATATCGCACGGGGACACACACACACACACACTGGGATAACCTCAAATGGTTCTTTTGGTGAAGACACATGGGCGCAGAAGAGTCCAGGGAGAAAAAAAAACCAAAATACAAAGCGAATGGCATTTGTCTTTTGACAGTGCCTAGGGGATGGTGTGGAATTATTTCCTTTGTCACCTTGTTTTTTTCTCTTGTTTTTTTTTTCCTTTTGTTCTGTTCTCTCCAAATCTCTCTGGACCAACACATTCGGCGTGAGCAATGAGCCTCACACATTTGAACCTCTGGGGTTCCCATTCGTGTACCTGTTTACTTCGCTTCTTGTGACTTTTTTAACCTTTTCTTTTTTTTCTCTTACCGTTTCGTTTATTCTTGTTTTGCCTATTCGATGTAATATTTTTTGGTGCATTTTTTGCTTCTTATATTGTGCTGGTCACTTTCGTGTATAAGTTAATTGACTCCCATTTCCCCCTCCCTATTGCTTCATACCCTCTTGTATTGCATCACCCCTTTGTGTTGGTTACAGGTCACATCTCTAGATGTTGATTTATATGTATCAAATTACAAGCATAATCTTCCAATCTCTTTCCTACCTAGGTAGTAAACCCGCTTTGATATAGTAAAAGTAAAGGAGACTTAGGGCTTTCTGTTTCCTGATTTATACTTCCACCTGTCAAGTCTATAAAAATGTATAAATTTTAAATATCCCGTGACCTTGAAATGTACTGATCTTATCGGGTCTATCGATTGTCGATAGACTCACCCGGGCAAAGGTGGGGACGGCAAAAAGTACCCCCCCCATCACCACCCAACATCCAACAACCAAATATTGGACTCCAGACCTGGAGATACAGTTGTCATGTCTGCAAAACCTTCAGCCCCAGGGCTCAACGTGATTGCTCTGATCTCAGGCGGAAAAGATTCCCTCTACTCGATCCTTCACTGCATCCGCAACGGGCACAAAGTGGTCGCGTTAGCCAACCTCTACCCAGAATCGCAGAATAAGACCAAGACAAATCCAAAATCCGAATATGCCGACGAAGAAGAAGAAGACATCGACAGTTTTATGTATCAAACAATCGGCCACAGCATAATCCCTCTCTACGAAACAGCCCTCCAAATACCCCTCTACCGCCAACCCATCACAGGCGGAGCAGTCGATACATCCCGCATCTATGGGACCAAAACAACCGATAAAGATGAGACCGAATCTCTGGTCCCGCTTCTTACCCGCATAAAACAAGCCCATCCAGAAGCAAACGCCGTCTCTGTAGGCGCCATCCTCTCTACATATCAACGCACACGAATCGAAAATGTCGCTAACCGTCTGGGTCTCGTACCCCTCGCTTGGCTATGGATGTATCCATCCCTCCCTGCTCCCGCGGCTAGATCAGCCGATACTCTGGCAATACGCCAGGCGGGGCTCTTGGAGGATATGGCAGCTGCCAGATGCGATGCTCGTATTATCAAGGTCGCCTCCGGCGGTCTGGACGAGGGCTTCCTGTGGGAGAACGTGTCTGGTGCTGGGAGTGGCGGCCGTATGATGCGAAGGTGTCTTGTTAAGGCTATGAGTAGGTTTGCGGCCGCGGAAGATATTCGTGGTGCGGTGTTGGGTGAGGGTGGGGAGTATGAGACGCTTGCGCTGGATGGGCCTGGTTTCTTGTGGAAGCATAGGATTGAGGTTGGTAGTCGAGAGGAGAAGGTTGGGGAAGGGGGTGTTGCGTTTGTTAGGTTGAGGGGTGCTAGGTGTACGGCTAAGAGTACGTGGGAGATTGGCGATGGAGTTACGCCAAGTGATATTAGAAGGCCCGGACTGCTAGATGCAGTTTTTGAGGGTGTGTTGGGGTCCGCATTGGATATTTCGGAGACATTTGATGATTCAAACTGGCGCGCGATGACGAGTACTGCTCGGTCGCCAGATTGGCCTGTCTGTGAGCCCGTACACCGCCTGTCTGGTTCTACATGGACTATTTCGAATGTTGTTGCGCCCGAGGCTGGCCCTGGGGCAGGCGAACAGATGAAAGGGATTGCAGACAAGGTTGAGAAAGTGCTCAGGTCCTTTACCCGCCCCAAGTTGGGTGCTCGATCAACCGACGACATTGTTTTCGCTACAGTGCTGTTAAATTCAATGGCCGATTTTGGATCGATGAATGATATCTACGTCTCGCTATTCAAGAAACCCAATCCTCCTGCACGAGTTACAGTGGCATGCGGAGACCGACTGCCGTCCAACGTCAAGGTAATGGTCACATTTGTGGTTGATTTGGGTCCGAGGGAGCGACGCCAGGGCCTGCATGTTCAATCCAGGTCGTACTGGGCCCCTGCCAATATTGGACCATATTCCCAAGCGTTGTCAGTTCCGCTGCGGAACGCTAGCAGACTCGTGTATATTGCCGGCCAGATTCCTCTTGATCCTGGTTCTATGGACTTGGCGCAAGTGGAGGGACCAGGTTCGTGGCTTGAAAACTACCGTCTTCGAGCTGTACTGTCTCTTCAGCACCTCTGGAGAATTGGCGAAGCCATGCAGGTAAACTGGTGGCTCGGTGCGGTGGCTTTCTTGGCTCGTGGAGAGCACGCCAATACTCAGGCGCAAGTCGCATGGCGCCTTTGGGAAAAAATGCATGCTTTGCCTGACAATGAAGACGAGGGCGACGATGACGGGGATGGGCCAAAGCTCGATGCGTGGGACATTAAATATGGCCGCCAGGCAGAGGAGCTGACTGATGCCATTGTGCCGGGTCTGCCCAAGTTTACTGTTCTTGTTGAGTCTCACACCTCCATCCCACCATTCTTGGCCGTTGAAGTGGATGAACTACCACGAGGAAGTGACATTGAATGGCAAGGGCTGGGAGGCCGATGTGAGCAGATCAAGCTGGACATTAAGGGAGGGACATCTTCCACCACCATGGACAATCATTACAAGTATACCAATATCGAGATCGACGCGGGTTCGTCGGACGATACATTGAAGCAAATATTGAGATCAGTGAAAGAGGCTCACTGTCGAGACTCTAGTCTGTCTCAGGCTTTGTTATACATCACACACTCAGTGCCCGAAGCCTTATGGCCAGGACAGGTTGTGCCATGCAGATCAGTATGGGGACGAGAAGGACGAAGGTTGAGTGCAGGTGTGGTCCTGCAGCAGCTTAGTTAGGAACTATTTAACAAAGAATAAAGGAACTCGATTTGACCAAATATCAAAGTGAATAATATTTAGAGATCAGAGATCGTTGAAACTCGATATCATGATCCGTCCGCTGATGTATGGCGCACTGTTCGCTAGCATGTGATGGGCAAAATCCCTTCCGCATTCAGGAAAGATAGCAACAGTCCACGGGTGTCATTCTCCCTCTGCCACGTTTTCAATATTTCGGACTTCAAACATAAACGGGAATAAATTGTTAGATATTCAACTCTTTTCCCGGGAGTTCTCTTACCCTCCCCATACACTGTACATCACCATCCCACCCCGACATGACGTACTCATCGACATAAGGATGGCGCCATGAGTTCGTCGTGGAAAGAAGAACAAGAAGCGGCGCCTCGCAGCAGTATACCTCTGACTCCCGAAGCGTTCGCCGAAGATGTACGACTATTCAATCGCTCCCCCCATCCATACCACAGAAGCCAGCGCCTCGGATCATGCACTCCGTCCGAGCACGGCGACCGTCTCCACCCACTCTCCTCCTACTCCAGATCCTCGCGAACAACCAGTGACAGTGGCACAGAGGCAGACGATGAAAGCACCGCTTTTTTAAGGGGATTACCTGCCCCGCCGCCGCATCCTCGAAAAGGCCTACGATCTGGCGGAGTTGGTTCCACTGATGTCGATTACTGGCTGCAACCATGGCCGTCATTTGTACGGCCTATGTTGCGACCGTCGCGGCGGAGCTCGGAGGAGGAACTAGAGGAAGAGGCCTTTGAGGAGAGACTGAGGTTCAGACGTCAGCGACGTGTGGAGGTCCTCCGGCGGTTGATGGAGGCTGCGCTTCTGCTCTCCGTGGGTGGTGTAGTGTTGTACCAAGACAAGGCGCGCTGTCTAGCTTGGGAATGGCGAAAGGGTATGTGGGAAAGTGAGCTTGCTACCAAGACAATGGATTACGCTAATTGATCTACAGAGATTGCCGCCCACGGCCTTGTGGTCTTAGGTCTCTATGCCGCCTATCCGCTCGTTGTGCGTGCATCGCAGGGCCGAAGCTGGCGCATCTGGCGCATCTGGTCTACGAAGCGGACATATTTCTCAATACCCTCGAGCTTCGATCCGGCTCCCCTTCTCTATCCGATCCTTATCCCCATTTTCGTTTCGTTATCGCTGTCCAACCATGTTCCGCCACTTATCATGCCTAATATCATCCTCAGCCTATCCTCTTTACCGGCACCTGTTATACCGTTGCAAAACCGGACCAATGGATTCAATACCCTCCATTGGATGATCTCTATGATTCCCATTCTCGTTGCAGAGCATTTCTCCTTGGACCACACAGTGCCCAAACCACTGACGCTTCGCGGGCTCGACGCGGAAATTTTAATCCTTCTTTTCCCTTTGCATCAAGCGTTGATACCCACTTTAGACTTTTTGTTGACGACCAGCATACTTCCTGCTGAGCTGCAGCTTTTGACGACTGCTTTGATCAACTTGTACTTGTTTGCGGCCTCTCCCCAGATGGAGATACTCAAAGCCTTGTTATGGCTTGGAGGCATGTGTTTGTTTGCTTCTTGTCGACATATACTGCATTGGGAGGTTTCTTTGGCCAGAATCCCCAGCTGGAAATTCCGCCGCTCCCCGCATGGCTCGCACTTTTTCCGCAAATTCTTGAATATGATGGACCATCGACTTTGCGAGAAGCTGAGTAGAACGGGGCACATTCCATCGGACGGTGCTTCGTCGGACAGTGATGGGCCAAACGGGTTTCCGTTTTCAAAGCCGCGGAAGAGGAAGACCATGCGGGAGAATCACTCTTCCCACCCACCGGCTGAACCGACATCCGCAGTTGACAAGATCACGACGGAAGAGATCTTCGAGCAGCATGCTCGAAAGGTGCGTCGACGACGCCATACTATATCTACATTCGATGAAGTTGTTCGAGAGGAACGTATCCGCACTACTCCTGGTGGTAGACGCAAGAAAATGATGGGCCCTGGTCTAGCCTCCTTCCTCTCGCTCACTTCAGCCCAGGCGCAGGTCCGAAAATGGCTATACGCCTTTTACGTCTATGTTTTGACCCTGATTATCATTCTTGGACCTATCCGAAAGTATGTGGCGGAGCACGCACTGCACGGCCAGGATCCGTTTGGCTGGGCTATAGGCTATTTGTTCGGAAATTTCCCGAAGGTTCGCTTTTGGGTGCTTATGTTGAACCTTGAGTACTGGATTGAACTGCCACCTCGCCATGACGCTGAAATTCTGAGTGCTTCCTGCTTCCTCGGATCGGTGGAACATATTCGCCAGGTTACCTTTGGCGCCGCGATCACCCGCCTTCTGCTCAGTGGATACTGCGTGTTGGTGCTACTGACAGGCCTAGCCATTGTTGTTAAACTCACCTCTGTTGCAGAGGTTGATACGCGCCGTAAGATTTTCCACGGCATGATGGTGGTTATGTTCCTTCCCGCTATATTTGTGGATCCAGCCTTCTGCGCCATGGCATTAGCTTTGGTTCTCTCCATTTTCCTTCTATTGGACCTGTTCCGCGCGTCTCAGCTACCTCCAATTTCACGGCCACTCACCTACTTTCTGGCCCCGTATGTTGACGGCCGTGATCACCGTGGCCCGGTCATCATCTCACACATTTTCTTGTTAATTGGATGCTCGATACCCCTTTGGCTGTCACTTTCGGATCTTCCTCGGACTGGCCTGGGCCCCTGGGCTGGATGGGAGATCCCATCACGAGATGTGAGTATGACCAGCGGAGTTATCTGTGTTGGCATGGGCGATGCGGCCGCATCACTTGTTGGCCGACGGTACGGTAGACTGAAATGGTTTTGGGGTGGTGGAAAATCACTAGAAGGCAGTGTTGCTTTTGTCGCAGCTGTGACCTGCGGGCTGATCGCGGTTCGTGCCTGGTTGGTGCTCGGTGGTTGGCCCGTGTCTGGGGTCGAACTAGCCAAAGGCGCAGCTTTCTCCGCTCACTTCTGGGCCTTGACTGTGCTTAAGGCGGTTCTGGCGGCAGCCGGCACGAGCGCCACCGAGGCGATCCTCACTGGTTGTAATGACAACGTCGTGGTCCCAGTGGTGTTATGGCTGCTAGTGCGGGGTCTTGGAGTTTGATTTGCCACGTTGATGTGTACAGTTGCGCGACTTGTTTGCTTTTTATTTCTTGACTTTTTTTTTTTTTCTTTTTGTTCGGAGGTTTGCGTGTGATTATCTACCTATCATATCCCTGCGGCATTTGTATAGTATAGTGGGGTGCATAGCCTGAGGATGTATAGATTGACCTCGACTACTCAACTAGAGACCGTTTTTGGGTGCCTATACTAGCGGCGCATTATTGCATATCTGCCTTGCCTTAGTTTCCCCCCCCTTTACTTCAATTCGACCAACCGCTGCGCCATGACTGGGACTCATAGGCTGCAGATAAGCTTCCGTCACCATACAGTTTCATCGGGTTTTGTGATGGGTCACCTTGCAACTTGTAAGTATTTCCAGGCAGATGCTGGAATATTGAGGAATACATAATGTAAAGCTGCCTTGACAGAGTCTAGACACTATATATTGAGCCATACCCCACGGAATATCCTTACCCACAAGTCAATCCTGTATATTGTAACAGGGAATACTGGAGATCTTGGTATCTGGTATCTGCCTTGCCGATCTCGGCCTTATCTAATCGATAAGCACATGACTTGGCCCTGGAGGTACCTGTATCTCTCTGATTTGGACTTCTGTTAGGTGTTTCCAGGGGGGGGTTGTCCTAAATTTCTCATAATTTTGATACCTTCATTTTATCATCTCTTCATCTCTTCATCTCTATTTTGCTTTAGATTTCCTCATACATTTTCATCTTATCGGGGGATTCCAGATCATCTCCGCCCTTCTGACCGCCTTACGCGATCATCGCCGCTTGTCACTCGTTATCGTTGGGTCACACCCCCCCAATCGTGGAGTATCCTTGGGTCTTGGGGTCGTCTTCCCGCGTCCGCCATCACATCATCTTGCTCTTTCATGAGAAACTATCATTTTGCCTCCCAATATCTTTGGTTCTCTATTATACTCGAATCTTCAACACTCCCCCTCATTTAGATATTCTGCATCTACACCTCTCACCGCTTTAAGTGTTTTGGATCAACTTTGTTTGCTTCCTTGAAGTACATCCTCTACATCGACATCACCTGTTATAATCTACCCGAGTTCACCGGTCTCGTTCCACGGCACCCCTTCACAGTACCTTCCCAGACCCATTCCCCCGGCGGTTCCTCGACCCTTCCAGGCTTCCCGGAAGCAGCGTCATCCTTTCCATAGCTCCCCTGATGGGCCTCTCGACTCGACCGTTTACATTGCTGCTGAGGTAGTTGTGGTTGCTGGGGTGTGACTCGACCTTTATCCCCCCCAGCGCGAGTCTATCAGAGACAGAATAGGCATTGGCGTGCCCACCGCCGTTATGGCGTCTCATAACTCAAGGAGATCGCGTGAGCCTTCCCGTCCAGAAATGTCCATCGGTCGCTATACGCGGCTAGATGAGATCGGGCGAGGAAGTTTCGCGACGGTTTACCAAGGTGTCCATACAGTGAGCCGTGCCTTGTCTTCATATGTTGAATGATGGATGCTAATCGGTTCCTATCACACAGAAAACAAAAACCTATGTAGCAATCAAGTCTGTGAACCTATCGAAGCTCAACAAAAAGCTCAAGGAGAACCTTTCGTCCGAAATCGATATCCTCAAGGGCCTCCAACACCCACATATTGTGGCCCTTATCGACTGCCATGAATCAACATCTCACATTCACTTGGTTATGGAATACTGTGCGTTGGGGGATCTGTCCCTGTTCATCAAGCGCCGAGATACTCTTGGATCACATAAATACACTCGGGATATGATCGCCAAATACCCAAATCCACCCGGTGCCTCGCTCAATGAGGTGGTTACCCGGCACTTCCTTAAACAACTGTCAAGTGCACTGAAATTCCTTCGTGACCGAAACCTCATTCATCGAGATATCAAACCACAGAACCTTTTGCTATGTCCCTCACCTTCGTCGTATCGGAATGGGGGTGCCCAGGTGGTTCCCTATAAAGGTAGTGATGACTCTTACGAGCCCATGACAGGGCTCGAATCCCTTCCCATGCTCAAAATCGCAGATTTCGGCTTCGCTCGATCTCTACCAGCCACTTCACTTGCAGAGACTCTTTGTGGATCTCCACTGTATATGGCGCCCGAGATTCTTCGATATGAGAAGTATGATGCCAAGGCCGACTTGTGGTCGGTAGGTACTGTGCTCTACGAGATGGTGGTGGGCCGACCCCCGTTCCGGGCCACAAATCACGTCGAGTTGCTACGAAAGATTGAGAAGGGAGAAGACCGAATCCGCTTTCCTGAAGATAACACCGCTTCAGACGATATCAAAAGGTTAATTCGAGGTCTTCTGAAACGGAATCCAGTGGAGCGATTGAACTTCCCCGACTTTTTCAACAACAATGTAATAAATGATCCGATTCCTGGCTTGGTGGCAGAGGACGCTCCAGGGCCACCACCCTCGCCACGACCGAGGCAGCTTGTCGCGAAAACCGAAGAATCTCCTTATGATACTGGGTCTGAGGACAAATTTGCATATCCTCCCGGTCAAAAACCTGTTTCAACGCGTCCAAAATCAGGAACACCGCCGACCGCTACACACATGCGCCGCGTGGGAAGCGCTGACCGGCCTGCTCCAGGCATTTCCAGGGAGCAACAACCGGGAGGTACACCACCTCATCGGCCTGCTCCCGTCAGTCTTGCCACTGCCCCGGGGCGCCAGGAGCTCATCGATCGAAATGCAACTACCGCGGCTATGGATCGGCAGAGACATCGAAATACCTACACTAGTTCTCCCAAAATAAGTGAGTCGACAGTCCGTGCCCAGGAGGCACGAGATCGCGCGGCACAAGAAGTGGCATTTGAGAGAGACTACGTTGTGGTCGAAAAGCGGGCCGTGGAGGTTAATGCCTTTGCAGATGAACTAGCTCATAGCCCGCGCCTTCAAGGTGGGCTTTCTCGACCAGGACAAACTGGTGCTCCAAGCCGTCGAGCAACAACGCAGGGTCTACCTACGGTGTCACCATCTTCTCCGCATGCCAATGCAGCCAAAGCCATGCAGGTTGTTTCTGGTCGTTCGCGAGCAGATTCTACACACCAACGCCAACATTCCTACGAGCGACGCTATGGTCAAAGTCCTACTTCGGCGACCTCGGCAATCTCGAAAGCACTCAACATGGCCAGCGGTCGTCTGTTCGGAATGGGTTTCTCTCCTCCCCTTGGTATCGCTAAAGGCGGCCGATCCCCACCTCTAGCCTACAACCCTTTCCCCGCCTATCCTGCTACACATGCTAGCCTTTTGCTCACCGGAGATGGTTCCAAACCCAATACAACTGTCGACGAAGACTACAGGGCAGTCCAGGAAATCGAGGAATGTGCTACACGTAGTGATGTTGTGTTCGGATTTGCTGAGGTGAAATACAAGCAGCTTATTCCACTAGCACCTTCGGCACCGACTGACCCATCTGCGAGACCCATGGACACAAACATCGAACAAGACTCCGCCGACCCCGATGATGGCCTGACAGTCGATGCTATTGTTACATTGTCCGAAGAAGCTTTGGTACTATATGTCAAGGCTTTGTCTTTGCTTGCAAAATCAATGGACATCGCTGGAGCTTGGTGGTCGCGCAAGAACCGTGAAGAGGTCTACGGGGAATCTCCCACTAAAGACAGCATGAGCGCAGCTGCCGGTACCCGGATCAACTACGTTGTGCAATGGGTGCGCAGTCGGTTCAATGAGGTCATCGAAAAAGCCGAATTTGTGCGCCTAAAGCTCATCGAGGGACAACGGCGATTGCCACCAGATCATCCTAGCCATCCAGACAATCATTCTATTGGTTCCACCGCCGGCTCAAGCTCAACTGCCGACGTAGTGGTTAGCCCCGGCGTGACAGCAGAGAGGCTAATGTACGACCGCGCACTTGAGATGAGCCGGGCGGCTGCCATCAATGAATTGACTGGTGAAGATCTTGCCAACTGCGAGATTACATATGTTACTGCGATTCGCATGCTCGAAGCTGTGCTTGAGGATGACGGAACGCGATCTATGCCAGGTAGCAATATCGAACGGCAAAACGGTTCGCAACATGATAAGGTTATTCTGGATGAACTGCAGGTGGAGGATCGGCAGGTCGTTATGAAACGTAAGTTTTACCCAAACCCACCCAACCTTATCCCAAACTCACACTTTGATTCAGTCGTATCCAGTATGCGTGGCCGACTCGCATCTGTCCGAAAGAAGGTAGCTGTTTTATCCAGGCGATCATCAGTGCCGACAGGCAGTGCTGGCAAGATACCTACCTCCACCATTTCTCCTGTTGCATATTCCACAGGGGTGACACCGCCTAGATGAGCACTTTTTCTTCTTGAATTTTCTCTCAATTTATTGGGATTATTACGATATTGTTCAATCCAGTAGTGTCATGATTATAGTCTTATATGTATAAGGCTTGACTCGCGACACTAACGATTGACGGTTTTTTTCCGCATCCTTCTATATAAGGAATTCCCCTGGCCTCTAAGGCTATGTTGCTTTCATGTTTCTTTTCTTTTCTTCTTTTTTTTTTTTTTTTTGCCATTCATCTGCCATTTACTTCTCTCCAGAGATCTAATGTCTTCGTTCATATTTGTCTATTGCAGCTCACGTTTTGCCATATATCCCACAGCACGAGACCAGGGGAGTTCTTATGTTCTTTTTTTGTCATGTCATGTCTTACTGCCTCTTTTTTTAAACTTTTTTTCTTCTTTCGTTCGGATTGGCGTTTGACCTGGGGACCCACGGTATACAGATTGGCACTGATTTTTCTTTTGGGCTACGCACACGGTCATGGCGTTGGGGTGCTCTAAGATTGGATTATATGCAGATACTGCCTGTATTGTACATAGAGAAATCGAGGTAACTCATTTACATTTTATAAAGAAGCACTTCGTATTTCTAGGTGGATTGTTTCAAGTTGTCCATATAAAAAAAAGGCTAAGCTTGGCAAAGATCCTCACGCGAATAACCCTAAAAATTGCGTGCTTTGATTATGTGTCATAGTTTGACAATTTCTTCATTTTTTCATTTAACTTGGCTTTTTTCGTCTCTTGGCTTTTTCTCGGCAAGATATATTCTCTTAATTCTCTTGATATTTATGTTCGAAGTACAGAGTATGAAGTACTTACATGCTTTCCCTGCCACAAATCGAACCTATTTATGTACATCAACTTTGCATTTTCAAACAATTAATGGAATACATGGATCGATATAAGCCACGTTTACTGTATTTGTAGTTCTACTACCACGGCCCGGCCCCGATATATGGGTTCTCGGCAGCCCACTAAACCCCGGCATCCCCGGTGTCCGAGGCATTTTTTTCTATATTGCACCATGATGGTGAATATAGGCGCCACGAATCATGCGTTATTCCTTGTTTTTCCCAGGAAAAATGTGTCTAATTGGGTTGAAATCCATGTAACCTTAGAAACGGTACTAATGTTCAAGGCTGGTAGATCTGACATAGGACTGATATCACTGACATCCACCACTAGCTACGTAGACCAGCGCTATCCCCCTTAGCCTCAGTAAATTCAACTGCAAACCCGTTTGCGAAACAAGATGGCCATGGATAATGTAGACCCAGCCGGTCGCGGCTTCCTAGGCGACCTTACACCTTCCGTTCTCCCAGTCTACCAATATCGGAACCGGGAGCAGTTACTAAACACTATCAAGCAAGCAGTCGCGACAGCAAGGAAGACCCCTACCAGTGAATGGTGTCTTATCGAACGCGTTAGCAATTCAATATTCACAGATGAATTTCTTTTGGCAAAAGAGGGCCCATTTGCTTCCTGGTCGTCGTATGACGCCCAGTTAGACCGTGTGTTGTTGAGAATGACGAAGTTAGAGGCGCATGAAGTCGCATCAGAAAATTTCCAACTCCTACTCTTCGATGCAATCACGCCTACGGGGATGAAACGTTCGCTTAAGTCAACTGGAAGTACGACCAACTATGCTTCAATAGGGTGTAAAGAAGCAGACAAGGCGTGGGAGCCATTTCGCCGCCCACGTGGCCAATCAAGGGACTGGCCCAGTGCTGTACTAGAAGTGGCTTTCTCAGAGAGTAGAGCCAAGCTACAGTCAGATATAAAATACTGGCTCCGAGCTTCAAGGGGTGATGTAAAGGTGATAATCACGCTCCAAATCAATCAAGGCTCCCCCGACATAGTAATCGAGAATTGGGGAACCCAGGGCAACAAATCCGTCAACGACCTTCACCAAACAATTCAGATTTCAAGGAAGGGCGGCAAAATCAAAACCAGGGGGTCTCCTCTGGTTATCGATTTTGAAAAGCTATTTCTAAGACCGCCCATGGAACCGAAAGAACGAGATATTCAGATCGACGACGAAGACCTGCAATGGTTAGCAGAGACTGTTTGGGACAGTCAGGGGATTTGATAGATTGTCATGCTTGCTTTGAGTCTGGAAAGCGGGTTTTCTAGGCATGGGGATCGTTCAAAGGCTGATGGAAAAGTACATGAAAAGCTCCCGGAGCCTTATTCTGGCTGTCATCGGTGCAAGGGCCGATTACCATATCCAAGGCCCAGCCGATGGTGCAATTTGTTGCCTTCCCGCAAAAGGTTCTGGAATAATTTAAGACATGTGGGCCGAATTATATGAGATCCACAAAGGGGCCTTTGCCTCCATCTGGTGATTCCTGTGGGTCTCGCTTGTTCGATCATTTGGTTTTTAGGGTAGCATAAGACTCTGCCCAGCCGCAATGGCCTATGGTATCATATTTAGTGCCAGCACCTCATTTTGGTGCCGTTGCTAGCCGTGCTAAATTTGCCTGTCAGACACTCAGCTGAATACAAATACTCGTCGATCAGTTCCACTGTGTGGGTGGCTCATCTGTACAACTAACATAATGGCGGAACGCGTTGATCCTCTTGTCGAGGCTTCCAACAAGTCACCAAACTTCGATACAAAGCCAACAGGAGACGATGGCCTGCGCCGAGCAGATGGTATCTCGGGATTATGTACGTTTTTCCTTATGAGGATTGAGTGATGGCCGAGTGACCCTCTAATCGTTCCGCTTTCAGATGAAGGAAATGTCTTTGAGACGACACCCGAAGTCCGTCGTCAGATTGGTATTTTCAGTGCTGCCCTCTTAATCTTTAACCGGGTTATTGGCACGGGTATCTTTGCCACACCGAGTACTATCCTTGCATTGACCGGTAGTGTCGGTCTCTCATTGTTCATGTGGGTTATCGGCACTGTAATTGCCCTGGCTGGGACAGCAGTGTATTTAGAATGGGGTACTGCAATTCCCAGGTATGTCATTGAACAACAACATTATCAGAGGGGACATGACTAATTAACCTGGCTTTGTATAGAAACGGAGGAGAGAAGAACTACCTTGAATACGTTTATAAAAAGCCCAAGTTCCTAGCCACTGCTATGTTTGCCGCTTATGCCGTGTTACTCGGATGGGCAGCAAGTAACAGTGTTGTCTTTGGTCAATATATCCTCAACGCAGCAGATGTTGAGGTCGGACGATGGAACCAGCGTGGAATTGGCCTGGCCTGTCTCACTGCCGCCTTTCTTATCCACTCCGTTGCCCTAAAATGGGGTATCTTTCTTCAGAATGCGCTTGGTATTATCAAGTTAATTATCGTCTTGTTCATCATTGTTTGTGGTTGGGTGGCACTTGGTGGCCATACCAAGGCTGAGACGCCGCATAACTTCACCAATGCCTTTGAAGGCACCGAAGGAAGTGGATATGGCATTGTCATGGCGTTGTACAACGTTATCTGGTCCTTTATTGGCTATTCGAATGCCAACTATGTAAGGATACGAACATATTCCGTCTTTTGGTCATATTGCTAATTACATTTACAGGCCTTGAGCGAGACAAAGAACCCAGCCCGCACGTTGAAAATTGCAGCCCCCATTGCTATCATCTCTGTTGGGGTTTTGTATATGTTTGTCAACATCGCGTATTTCGCCGCTGTATCGAAAGAAGATATGCTCGACTCTGGCAGCATTGTGGCCGCCGTATTCTTCAGAAACATGTTCGGCAAGCAGGCTGAAAAAGTCATGTCGGTCTTTGTGGCTCTCTCTGCATTCGGAAATGTGTTATCCGTCATCTTCTCACAAGGACGAAGTATGTATTCTCTATTCTCTCTTGCACGTTTGAATGGTATACTAATATGATCTCGATGCAGTCGTTCAAGAGCTTGGCCGTGAAGGTGTCTTGCCCTTTTCCAAGGTCTGGGCCAGTAACTGGCCTTTCCACTCGCCAGCCGCTGGCCTGCTTGAGCACTATATTGTCTCAGCCATTATCATGCTCGCACCCCCTCCCGGCGACGCATACAACTTCCTCCTCAAGTATGTAATTTCCGAAGGCAGCTGGAAGATCATAACTGACCAATTATCCCAGCCTCATTTCTTATCCTCTCTCAATTGTCAACTTCTTCGTGGCTGCTGGCCTCGTCCATATCTATCTCACCAAAGAGAAAAATTACCCGGACTGGGCGCCCGGAATCCGTGCCACCCTACCAGTCACCATCTTCTTCATGTTGTCGAACCTGTACCTCGCGATTGCGCCATATGTGCCGCCCAGCGGTGGCCAGAATGTGTACGAAGAGCTACCGTACTACCTGCACTGTGTGGTGGCCCTGGCGCTTTTCGCAGCAGGAGCAATCTACTATGTTGTCTGGGCAGTGTTGATGCCTCGGATTGGTGGGTACGTACTCGTCAAGGAGTCCGTTGTGGATGCCGATGGATGGTCTCGCAGTGTTTTTACGCGACTGCCACAGGCTCAGGCATTGCATTCCTAAGAGATACTACGCGATAATAATGGATTGATTTTGGATCTTTTGGATCTTTTATATATGGGAGATAGATTTTGTCATGGTGACTTGGAAGAACTTCCCACCAGACGCTACTAGTAATAGGTAATATCTGAATAGAACATTTGTCATTATTTGAGACCTCCCGAGGTCATTACCAGCAGTCCTGTCATGCTGTGACATCAGAGTAATGAACCGCGGTGCTGTATGTTCCAGTCTTCTATGGTAGCCCACCCAAGAGAATCGATTTGAAACTGTCATGAGCCCCTCAAACTTGCTGGTATATTGTCTTGCAAGATAACAGCATAAAAGCCATTCCAATCAGGTATCTGTCATATAGAATTTAGACATCCACTGGGTGAACTTGCGTGTTGAAGAAGAAGAAAAGAAGAAGAAAAAAAAAGGTGGAAAAGTTAAGAACCACTTTGTATTCACCGCCTTCGCATCTGCCGGACTCTGATCTCATGTTTTTCTTTCTCGACCGTTAGTATCAAGTCCGTGGTTCAATTGTTCTCGCATTTGGTTCTATTTAATTATTTAATACTAATACCTCTTTATTTCTTCTCTCTCTTTTTCTTTTCTTTTCTCCCATTCGGGTTCGTGGAGCTAATGCGCCGCTTCTCCACGCGTGTGCTTCTGCAGCAAGCAAAGCCACCGCTTCTTTCCGCCAGATCCCCCCTCCCCCTCTTTGGTTCCGCTCGCTTCCCTCAAGCTTCAGTTCCTCGATCAATTCAACGTCGCTCTCCTTCTCCGCTATCACAGACCTCTAAACGATACTGTTCATACCGCAGAATGTGTAGCTCCCGCCGCGAGACCTCCGGGTCAACAAACGTCCAGGGCCGTGAGGTTCTACCCACAAACGTCAAGCCCCAGCATTATGATTTGACACTCGAGCCCAACTTCGAGAAGTTCACATATGAGGGAGCTGTCACCATTGAGTACGCCATTTGTGCGCAGTTTCATATATCGGTCATTAACATCTACTTCTAGCCTCGATGTGAATGAAGACACCGATTTCATTACCCTCAATTCCAATGAGATCGAAATTCACAGCGCAATTGTTTCAGCTAAGGGCTCGGTGGTGGATTCCAAGCCTGAAATTTCCCTCAACAAGGATGACCAGACCGCAACCATCAAGTTCGGCCAGGCTATCTCGGCGGGGTCGGATGCCCAGTTGAAGCTTACTTTCACTGGTATTCTGAACGACAACATGGCCGGTTTCTACCGATCATCATACAAGGAGAATGGCGAGACCAAGTACATTGCATCATCTCAGATGGAGCCCACTGATGCCCGTCGGGCCTTCCCTTGCTTCGACGAGCCTGCTCTCAAGGCCAAGTTCACCGTGACTCTGGTTGCAGATAAGAGCATGACTTGCTTGAGCAATATGGACGTTGATACTGAGACTGAGATCCAGGGTGGTGCGAAGAAGGCTGTGAAATTCACCACTTCGCCCCTCATGTCCACCTATCTCGTTGCTTTCATTGTTGGAAAGCTCAACTACATTGAGACAAAGAACTTCCGGGTTCCCATCCGTGTGTACGCCACTCCCGACCAGGATATCGAGCACGGCCGTTTCTCACTGGAACTTGCTGCCAAGACTCTAGCCTTTTACGAGAAGGCCTTCGACAGTGATTTCCCTCTGCCAAAGATGGACATGGTCGCCGTGCCTGATTTCAGCGCGGGAGCTATGGAGAACTGGGGTCTGATCACATACCGTATTGTCGATGTGTTGCTGGATGAGAAGAACAGTGGCGCGTCCCGAAAGGAGCGTATCGCTGAAACCGTCCAGCACGAGTTGGCCCACCAGTGGTTCGGAAACTTGGTCACCATGGACTTCTGGGATGGACTGTGGCTCAACGAGGGTTTCGCGACTTGGATGTCGTGGTACTCTTGCAACGCCTTCTACCCAGAGTGGAAGGTTTGGCAGACTTACGTTATCGACAACTTGCAGAGTGCTCTTTCGCTTGACTCGCTGCGCAGCAGTCATCCCATTGAGGTGCCTGTCAAGCGTGCTGATGAGATCAACCAGATCTTCGATGCTATCTCTTACTCCAAGGGTTCCTCCGTCCTGCGCATGATCTCGAAGTACCTGGGCGAGGATGTCTTCCTCCAGGGTGTCCGAAACTACATCAAGAAGCACGCCTATGGTAACACCGAGACCGGTGACCTGTGGGCTGCTCTTGCTGATGCTAGCGGAAAGCCCGTGCAGTCGGTCATGGATATCTGGACTAAGAACGTTGGCTTCCCTGTCCTCAGCGTCACGGAGAACAAGGAAAATTCCTCCATCCATGTGAAGCAGAACCGTTTCCTCCGTACCGGTGACGTCCGCCCCGAGGAAGATCAGACCCTCTTCCCTGTGATGCTCGGCCTGCGCACGGATAAGGGTATTGATGAAGACACTATGCTGACGGAGCGCGAGCGTGACTTCCCCGTTCCTGACCTGGACTTCTACAAGCTCAACGCTGACCACTCTGCCATCTTCCGCACATCATACAGTCCCGAGCGCCTTAAGAAGCTCGGCCAGGCTGCTCGTGAGGGCCGCCTGAGTGTCGAGGACCGAGCCGGTATGATTGCCGACTCCGGTGCCCTTGCTGCTTCTGGTTACCAGCGCACCTCTGGTATGCTTTCCTTGCTTCAGGGCCTTGACACCGAGTCAGAGTTTGTCGTGTGGAACGAGATCCTGACCCGTATCGGCACCCTGCGTGCTGCTTGGCTCTTCGAGGACGACAAGACAAAGGATGCCCTCAAGGCCTTCCAGCGCGCGCTGGTTGGCCCCAAGGCCCATGAGATCGGCTGGGAGTTCCCTGAGAACGATGACCACATCTTGCAGCAATTCAAGGCCCTTATGTTCGGCTCTGCCGGTATGGCCGAGGACCCTGTTGTCGTCAAGGCCGCCTTGGACATGTTCGCCCGCTTCGCTGCCGGCGACCTCTCCGCCATCCACCCCAACATTCGTGGTAGCGTTTTCACCATTGCTTTGAAGCACGGTGGTGCCAAGGAGTACGAAGTTGTCCTGGACCGGTTCCGCCACGCCCAGACTTCGGACGAGAAGACCACCGCCCTGCGCTGCCTCGGTGCCTCTGAGGATCCCGCGCTTATCTCCCGCACTCTTGGCCTTGCAATGAACGAGGAGGTCAAGAGTCAGGATATTTACATGCCTCTTGGCGGTCTCCGCAGCCACCCGGCTGGTATCGAGGCTCGCTGGAACTGGCTCAAGTCCAACTGGGATGAAATCTACAAGCGTCTTCCTCCCGGTCTCGGTATGCTGGGCACCGTTGTCCAGCTGACCACTGCCAGCTTCTGCACTGAGGCGCAGTTGAAGGACGTTGAGCAATTCTTCGCTTCTAAGGACACTAAGGTTAGTGACTTCACCAGGGCCTCACAGAGGTTTCCCCTAAGTTTTATATATTTGCAAATTTACTAACTCGAATATTTCTTGCAGGGCTTCGACCGTGCCGTGGAGCAGAGCCTTGACTCTATCCGCGCCAAGATCAACTGGCTCAAGCGTGACCGCGACGATGTTGAGCAGTGGCTGGGCAGCAACAGCTATCTCCAGAGCAAGCTGTAAATTTAGGAAAAAGTGACTTGAGTGATGTTCACAGGTCTCTTGGAACACCGGGATCCTTTTTTGTCTTTCAGGGCTGGCAGCGAACTTTCCTTCGACTGCACATTATTTTTGTGTTGTAACCTACAGAAAGCAGAAAGCACACGGGATGTGCTTTGAGCTAAAATCATACTCTACTCATTCATCCAATCTCTGGTAGAGCAAGTGCTTGTATGGACTAGGGCTAGGTAGATACGTTTGTAAAAATCCGCGCTGATTAAAATGACTACGTACACATACAACTAGGCTAGACATTGAGACAAATGGCATCAAGCCTCCCGCGGTGATTTCCAGTAGAACACCCATAGGGTCATCCGCATAGGGTCATCCGCATAGGGTCATCCGGTCGTCAAACGTACACTGGAACACCATGGATGAAAAAGACGTGTGGTATCAACGGAAGATAATATAGAAAAAAAAAAAAAAAAAGAAGCATGACAGAGAGAGGAGCCTATGCCCATCCTCCCTTGCCTCCGAACCCAGAACTGTCCTCGATCTTCTTGCCACCAGAACCGCGTGTGGGCTTGGACTGCGCCGCTTCATGCTTGCGTAGTTCCTCGGGGACACGCGAAATAGGTGATTTAATAAGCATCTGTTTGAGATCATACCTGTCGAGTGTTAGTAAATGGAGAGTAAAAAGTGCAAGAAGGAGGGGAATGGGTAAAAAGGAGAAAGGGTGTAAGAAGGGAGACTTACATGACATCGCTATCTTCGCTGCCCAGGAAGGTGATAGCAACACCACTCTTTCCAGCACGACCAGTACGACCAATACGATGAGTGTAGCTTTCGATCGAGGTTGCCATGTTGAAGTTGACGACCAGTGATACATCTGGCACATCGATACCTCTTCCAGCAAGGTCAGTTGCGACGAGAACGTCTGTTGAGCCGTTGCGCACAGAGGCGAGCGCGGCTTCACGCTGGTCTTGAGTCTTGGAACCGTGTAGGGTAACTGTGGAGAAGCCCATTTGTTTGATCTCGCGGGCGATCGCGTCACAGTTTCGCTTGATGTTGACGAATACAATGATCGGGGGACGGAATTCACCCGAGTGTAGGATCTCGGCGAGGCGCTTCTTGCGTTTGTCTTCGCCGGAGATCATCTCCACACGTTGCTCCACTGTGTCGACGGCTTCACCGACGCCACCAATGGTGATAATGGCTGGTCGGCGGAGGTACTTGCGAGCAATGCGCTCGACCGCCGCAGGCATAGTGGCTGTGTACATCATAGTTTGGCGGTATTTGTGTTGGCTCATCGCGCTTGAATCTTCAGCTTCTTCTGTATCGGGCTTTTCGTTCGTGACGGGGAGGGCATCCAAGATCTTGTTGACAGGCTCTTCGAACCCAAGATCGATCATACGATCTGCTTCGTCCATGATAACGTAGCAGCACTGGCTGAGTACTAGCATGCGACGCTCGATACAGTCAACTAGACGACCGGGGGTGGCAATAATGATTTCAGCGCCTTCGCGCAGGCTGTACGATTGCTCTTCAAGCGAGTGACCACCGACAATACTGACCACGTTGAATCCAAGCGGCTGCGTAAACTTTCTGGCTTCGATCTCGATCTGCTGCGCCAGTTCACGTGTGGGTGCTAGAACAATAGCGTATGGCCCGTCGTTTTTGAGCGACGGATTCTCGTCAAGTCGCGGCAGCGTCGAGATGTAGACCAAAAGAGGGAGTAGAAATGCGGCTGTTTTACCGGAACCTGTCACGGCGACACCAATTAGGTCACGCGACTGCATGGCGATCGGGATTGCCGCGCGTTGAATAGGTGTTGGGTCCTTATATCCGACACGGTCAACAAGCTCCAACAAGCGCTTCGGCAAATGACTCTCTTCCCATGAACGCATAGGATTTGGAACGCTGCCGCCTTTGGTGGCAATATTGAAATCTTCTTTGAAGATACGCCAGTCTCGCTCGCGCATGAGGTCCAAGCGCTTCTCACTCCAGTGTTTATCAATCTGTGTGCGGGTACTGTTCTCGCGTCGCCGGCGTTCCATCTCCATAATCTCTTTGGCTCGCGCGCTACCAGTTTCGGGGTCACGGGCAATCAACGCGTCAGCGTATTTGCGCGCGGCTTCCTCGGCGACATCATCGCCAAAGCCTCCCAAACGGCCACGGCCAAAGAAAGTGGGTTCTTGTCGGTGCTGGTACAGGGGGTTGTAGTCTCCGCTGGTATCTTCCTCGGCATTCCACTCGAAATTAAACTTGCGGTCTGCGGTACGTTTGCGCTTCTTCTTTGCCGAGAAATTAGACGTCTGGTCGGCTCCCATGTACCGGCGCTTGGTCAAGGCAGCCAGTGCTGCGGCTTCATCTTCTTCCGTTAGACGCTTTTCGCCCTTACTCTTAGATGGGGGTGGCGGCATATCTTGGTCGCGATTGTGCTGTCGGCCTCCCTTCCGTGTACCGCCGGGTCCAGTGTCGGGTCCGTCGCGCATCGATCGCGGCCCGGTAGGTACATGAGGAGCCACTGATTCCTCCCGGATATTGTGAGTCTCCGATGATGGTGCAGATATGAGGCTGTAGCGATCAGCGGCGGAGCGGGCCTTGGCTTGACGCTGTGCCTCAAGCTCTCGAGCCCGTTGCTCGAGCGCAAGCTTCTCTCGTTGAGCTTTGGATAAGAATTTGGGCTGTGAGATAAAATGTGAGTAAGAGCCATGAAATTTTGGGTCATGTATTTCACCATCCCCGTAGGATGACAAGCTTACCTTTGCCATTGCCGCATCTGCTTCTTTCTTCTTGCGTATCAATTCTTCCACACTCAACGGAGTAAAAGCCGGTTTCTTTGCCTTCTGCTTCTTCTGAGTCTCAATGGGGGGTGGGGGTGGCACATCATCGGGAGGAGGTGGAGGGGCGATACTGTCTGGCGGTGGTGGAGGAGCGGCCAAGTCTTCTGGGGGAGGCGGAGGAGGGCTAGGTGGGCGCTCCATCGGGTCCGGAGGGATCAGAGGAAAACCCTCAGAACCGTTGGCCATGACTTGTGTATGTGAAAGAAATGATGGAGAATGAAACCACGAGACTAGAGCCAAGAAGGAAGTGATACAGATAAGAGCCAAACGCGTAGTCACGTGATAAATCAGTAAGTCACGTGGCCATATCTGCTATCTACATGTGATCACGGCTCATTGGTGGAGCAAGTACCTAGGCCCACCATAAACAATTAGATCAAAACGACTAACTATACATTTCAATTACAACATATTGAACAACTGAGTTGTTGATTGGAAGCTTATACACTAGTTATACTTGGGGACGAATAATGTGAATCAATTTGAATTAATTTTTTTTAAAGTAAAAAGACAAGACAGGTTAGAATACAATTGGACCCGAAGGATCCAATCTCGAAGGGACTAGACACCAGTACATCTGACAAAAGTGAGAAGGAGCTAGCTGCCTTTTGACTGGGTCAAAATCGCTAGAAGGGAAGGTTGCCCAGGACGGGAAACGGGGATGATACTACATGAAGGAGAACTCACCCACCCAGGGAAATCAACATGCCAGGGTAAGTAACGAAGACAAAAACACCGAAGAAAAGATACCAGCAAAACTTCCGGAAACGAACCGATTCGTGAACAAACGTATTCATACTTGCAGTCATCAGCTTTGGGGGATGTGCGCATGCCTCTTTGGTTTCAAGCGACTGTACCGTTCGCTGGGGTCTGTTGGTAGTAGGCATACGCTTGTGCAGCCGCGGCATCATCCAATGTTGGCTGGATGTGAGGGATTGAAGCAAATTGTCCATCCGTAGGGGTAGGGTGCACCACCACGGTCCCGCCAGTTCGAGCAGAAGCCACAGATGAAGGGCCGTAAATTTCTCGGTCCAGGGTCATGTATTCCTTTGCTGTATCCTTTGTGCCTCTTTCGAGAAGGTACGTCATGTAGATTTGCACAAGTTCCATGACTGCGTCGACTTGCAGAGCGCTCTTGGAGCGGATGTCAGTAATGACCTGCTTGATACGTTCATACTGGATCGATTCTGTAGCCGCGCTAGTGGGTTGCTCAATCTCGAAAACAAGGTAGCTGCCCCAGAAGGGCCGGCTGTTGAGGTAATACTGCTGGTTTTCGTGGAAAACTTTGCGAGCCTCGTCAGGACTGCCCTTGATCTTCCACAAAAGGCGGGCCCACTCGGCAACAAGAGCAGCCTTTGTGCCCATTTCACACTCGGGCGAATCCAATTGTGTCTTGTAGACTTCAATCGCCGCCTCAAGGCCACCGTGACGACGACAGAGATTGGCGAGTGAGACGATAGTTTCAACATGGCTGGGGAGGTACATGAGAATGGCATTATGGATATCCTTCGCCACATCCACGCGGTTTGACACCTCTTCAAAGTAGGCATAACGGAGTCGGACGGTAGGGCTGGCAATCGGGACGTACAGATATGAGGCACGCTGGTAGATGATTCGCACTTCTTCTTCCTTGTCAGGATGAGAAGCCATCCAGCGAGCATATCGCAGCCAGAACTCATCGTAATTGGCACAGGTAACCAGGCACCGCTCATACAGGAACTGAGCCCGGGCGAACGAACCCTCAGCTTCCTCGAAGTCAAGATACTTCTTCCAGTTTGTCAACTGGCCTTCATCGAGCTCAGTGACATGGAAGTAGGGGCGCTTGATCTCCGATTCAAAAGTCCAGCGCTTGGTTGTCTCGGTCTGGGTGTTCGTGAAGATCTCTAGGTGGTAACTGTCCACGCGAAGCCGGAGATCCCGCTCGATCTCAGCTTCAGCCTTGGCGCCAGGAGCCTGCTGAGACGATTCAGCCTCGATCACAGCGCGGAATGTGGCCAAGGTATCTGCTGGGGCCAGCTCGGACAAAGGGCGGGTCTGCGCGATCAGGCGGTACCGTTCGAAGTATCGAGCATACTGGTGCATTGGGATGTGAATAATACGTCCAAGAATGGCAAAGATCTTGTCGTGGGCCTCAGCACGCTCCTCAAACTCAATGTACTTATCCCAGAAGGGATGGGAAAGGAAGTCAAGGCCAACGCTGCTTGCACCCCGCTCGAAAAGTCTGAGGGTTATTTGAGTTAGCAAGTTGCGGACACATGGGGATGAGGGCTGGGATAGGAGTGGTAGGAAACAGGAAAGGGATAATGAAGATGGCAAACGCGAGCAGGCAGTTCTGTCCGTTTGTGAAAACCCAAGTAATCAAATGAGTGCGTGGATGAAGCTAAGGGATAGGTAGGCATCTGGTGTTCCGTAAAGGGTCATCGAACGAGACTATTCTTGGCCTTCCAATGGAAGAAAGTGGCCAATCAGAGGAGAAATGCAGCCGAGTGAGCTATGGGTGAGAAATAAACTCCACTTAGGTCAAGGGAGCAAAGCAGCAAGCGGTCTCTCACCCATCGACAATGAGACTGACTGGATACCGTGGAAGACCATCTCTACTCTCACTTACTCTCGAATGATATCAGCATCGTGCGATGTCTCAGCCTTGAATGAGCAATAGTTGGCCCAAAGATCAACAGATGGCGAGATGCTAGCAATGCCTCGTTCATAGACCTATAGTGACAAGATTGGTACTAAGCCATGGAAAAGAAGAGGCTGGTGCCCTAGGATTGTGTATGCATACCATCTCAGCGGCCTCAGTGCCGGTGATGGAGAACTCTAGATCGGCATACTTCTTCCAGTATCCGAAGAGCAATGGGAACTTTGCGAGGAAACGGTCATAGACTGCACGGACGGTTGTGATGGCCTGGGGGCTGGAGTTACGATTGATTCCACCCTCGAGGCCCTCGGCACCGCGAACGAGCTTCTCCCAGGTTTCAAAGTTGTCGGGATCATCAACCTGTAACAGATAAACACGTCAGTAAACGAGGAGTACGTTAGTAAATGCGTATGGAACACGTACTAGCTCGGCCTCGAGATTTCTAATCTCCGCATTCTCCTCTTCGGAGCCTCCGTACTGATAGTCCGCCATGGTCACAGTGCTGAGGATGCGCACTAGAGGTTGTGGTCAAGAATAAAATGATATGGATGAAATTGCAGGTATTGATAAAATATCACCGATGGTAACAATGAAGACTGCGAAGGGAAGAAATTCTTGGGGCTAAATCGAGACTGAAAAGCCAAAGATAATGAAGGAATTCCGCCTTATGCCTGAGGCGACAAGCTTGCAGCGCGGTGTGGATCTAGGCGGTATGGAGCTTAGACTTACGCCACGGCAGAATACTTTACACCTGAGAAACAAGGTGCCAACTCTTGTAAGTTAGTCATGCTGTGATGCCTAAGGCACCATGTGGAGTGAGCCCGGGCGGTATCAACTTTTTGACAGGAACACTCACAAGCAACTTTCGACCACCTGTGCACGCAAACACCAAGATCCCATCATGTCGCTTCTCAACCAGCAACACAAACTGCTGGAGAATCTTCCACAACGTTTGGTAAATTTCTTTGCTCGGTACCCTCCACAAAAACACTCCGCAGCTGTCCGCCGACCTGCCCCTGCGAATGGAGAGGGTTATGTACCAGCGAAGGTAGAATCCCCATACACACCAGACCGGGATGCCAAGGGCGCACCAGGAGAGAAAAAGCATGGTTGGACTCCATCACGCGCACTACTCGTGACTAGTGAGAAAAACCGCAATCCATTTCTTCCACACAAGCGACATGGCAAATGGGAAGGACCGAGATATGGGCTGCGTCAGCAGGCCGATCTGATGAAGTTGGCCATCAAATACAATGTGGAGGCTCTTCTTCCTCCTAGTCGCAAATCACCCGAGTTTAAGGCGACACGGCGCGCAGAGCGTGGCTTGCAGGTCAAGGGAACTGGTGTTGGCCATAAGGTCAAGGGTCACAAGTGGGAGCGTACCATGGAATCTCGTCTTGAGGATCGCCGCAAGGCAATGGAAGGAATGCCGGAGATGGTCCGTTTGTGGAAACAGGTTAGTACTCGATTGATCCTTTCCGTTGAAGTAATTAGAACAATCCTGATTCGGCGTAACAGAGAGGTCATGGCCGCGGCTGGAGACAATGGCCCAAGCGGTAATCGGGTGTCCCATAACGACACCTCACAGCATTGCCTATCTATTCTTTATTTGGGCCAGTTTGTTCATTCCGGCTTTTTGGTGCTCTGGCGATTCCTACGCGAACCGGGTTCAGGACCAATACTTGCACGAGCCATAGCAAACAGGAGCTTGGGACGGAGTTTTGTCTTTGAAGTATACTATCAACCCCATCTGTACAATACAATCTACGGTTACATCCAATGGTACCCAAGAAAATCATTTACATATAACCGGCCGGTTTATCATTATCCTCAACACCAATCAGAAACCAACCTACTGTCGGCTTAACATGCTCAGTCTTGCAAGAAATCCCAACGCGGGATGCAGCTGAGAGGGGAACACCCAAGAATGACCTTGGAAAAGCCAATAATAGTAGTCACCGTACGAAGATCAACGTGTGGATCGGTTTCAACGTATAAACAATTTGAAATACCTAGCTGCGCTGTTCTAGGCTCGCTTTTATATATTTATGAGCTTGACGTGTCCGACTTGATTTTTAGCTATAAAGTTGGCATTTTAGTCCGATATGCATGGATAGTTTGTATTTCTCAACTTGTGGCTGCATTTTTTCGGCCCAAGGCATTGCGAACCATGTCAGGCGCTCTCTTCGTATATGAATAACAATATACTCGAGTGGGTAAGCTAGCATTGTGATGAGCCTGAAGGTAGTGCCTTAGCTTTAGTAAAATCCCGGCAACCCATGCAGGTTGGGTTACGCATTGTGCATCAGGGGCGCTACTGGAACGTGTGAGATATAATTAAAGAAGTGCCTCACAGGTAAATGGTTGTTAGAGGTAGCCAACAATCCCATTGTGTACTATAGTGTAGGAGGTTTATTATTAGTTCAAATACTCATCACAATGTGTCGGCTGATACACACCTGTCTCCCCGATGAGGATGACCGTCTCCGTAAAAGGTATAGGCGATTATGATATTATGCATGCAGTGCATGGACGTCACGATGTAGTAGTGGGGTCCTCATATGGAGTGTAGATCATCGTGCATATAGTGATAGATAGTGCGTGTGATATGGTGAGAACAATCGACCGGGGTGACAATGTTCTTTATAAAAATGGACTATTGCCACGTCCCATATATCCCGGGCACGTGTGAGGGGAATTCTCCATCTGCAGACATTCAGCTTCATCACTTCACAGCAACACCTCAGACAGTTGAAAACAACCTATAAAAGCCATCTATCAGACTTTGGGAATGTGTGTTTTTTCTAAACCTCCGATAGCCTATCCCTTCGAAGCGGACTGGAAATCCTACCCGGGCTAGTTGATTTGTTGGCATCGGTAACCTCCGATGATAATATAGCCATCTTATATTGTGGTAAGAGCCCCCCTCTTTCTTTAAATTTATTTGATATTGCACAGTTGCACAGCTATACAGTCTATCTATGGGATCATTCTATTCATTATGTGCTGATTGTTGTGCTAGACATATACAGAAAGCCCCATCCTTTCACAATTTGCCACTTCGGTTTCAAGCAAAGTATAGCAAATTCTGGAGTGCATTTGTCCAAAGTTGAACTTCAACAATGGCGGAATCAACCTTTCAGGGGTTGATCCATCCCGACTATAGTCAAGGTTACTCTGCTGATGTGGACATAATCCGAGAGCAAGAATACCCTCTACTAAATGGTACGAGTGCCCATTGCTATCACTCAATTCATGCTAACAATTATTCTACTAGAAACAACATACCTAGATTATGCGGGGACAACACCCTATGCCAAGTCCATGATCGAGTCTTTCTCGCGTGATCTTACATCTAACCTGTTTGGAAACCCTCATTCGATGTCTGTATCGTCGCAGCTTTCCACACAAAGAACAGAAGACGTTCGAGTCCGCGTATTAAACTTCTTTAATGCCGATCCGGATGAGTTTGACCTTGTCTTTGTGGCAAACGCAACTGCTGGCATCAAGTTAGTCGCAGATTCACTCCGAGACTCCGACCATCGAGGATTTTGGTATGGCTACCACATCGATGCCCATACCAGCCTCGTTGGAGTACGAGAGTTGGCTGAGATGGGCTACCAGTGTTTCCAAAACGATGATGAAATGGAGGCTGAAATTTCAAAGTTGGCCGGCAACCAGTCGAAAGCGCCCAGATTACTTGCATACCCAGCCCAATCTAATATGAACGGTCGGCGCCTGCCCATTCGATGGTGTGAGGAGGTCAGATCTGCAACAAAGGAAAGCGGCGGAAATGTATACACCTTGCTTGACGCTGCGTCTCTGGTATCAACCGCTCCACTTGATCTGGGTCCATCCTCATCTGCTCCAGACTTTACTGTCCTCAGCTTCTACAAAATCTTCGGCTTCCCTGATTTGGGTGCCTTGATTGTTCGCAAAAGTGCTGCACGAGCCTTTGAGCGACGGAAGTACTTTGGCGGAGGTACTGTCGACATGGTCCTGGCCACTGGTGTGCAATGGCATGCGAAAAAGGAGACCTCAATCCATGAGCGGCTAGAGGATGGTACTCTCCCGTTCCATAGTATCGTAGCCTTGGACACAGCCTTGGATACACACAAGCGCTTATTTGGTTCCATGGCGAACATTTCGGCACACGCTGGGTTCCTCGCGAAGCAAGTTTATGATAGGCTTTCTTCATTGGCACATTTCAATGAGAGGAAAGTATGTCAAATCTATCAATCACACACTTCGACGTACGGCAATTCAAATACACAAGGCCCGATTATTGCCTTCAATCTTTGCAATAGTCGCGGCGAATGGGTTCCTAAAACCGAGGTCGAAAAACTGGCTACTGTGCAAAATCTGCAGATACGCACTGGGTCCGTTTGCAATCCAGGAGGAACTGCCTCGTCCCTTGGATGGACCGGATCCGCGCTTCGCCGGCATTATTCTGCGGGATTACGTTGTGGTGATAACCATGATGTTCTCGGAGGACGTCCAACAGGGATTCTTCGTGTCAGTATCGGCGCCACGACAAATCTGAAGGACATAGACTCCTTGATAAACTTCATAGAGGAATTTTACGTCGAGAAGAGCCCACCTATAGTCGCTCTGGATCCTCTCACAGAAGACAATGAGGTTGTTGCTCCTCATTTCTATGTTGAAAGCTTAGCAGTGTTCCCAATCAAGAGCTGCGGTGCTTTCAAGATACCTGAGGGAAAGCGCTGGGAAGTGAAGAAAGAGGGACTCGCTTGGGATAGAGAATGGTGTTTGATTCATCAAGGGACTGGTGCGGCCCTGAATCAGAAAAGGTACGTTGCAAACAAAGTTTCCGAATTTTCCCACATTAACGGCAGTAGATATCCTCGCATGTGTCTCATACGACCCTCGATTGAGATTGAAAGAGGTGTTCTCCGTATTACTTGTGGTGCAATCGCCGCACCAGATCAGGTCAGCCTTGAGATTTCACTTGGCTGGGAGGACACAAGTCTTATTTCCACATCCTTCTGTCCAAGCTCGACCAAAAAGCCTACAACAGTCTGCGGCGACCGAATCTCTCTCCATGCCTATACGTCCCCCGTGGTCTCTGCATTCTTTTCGGACTTCTTGGGAGTGCCCTGTACTCTTGCACGGTTCCCTACACAGACCAGCAGCCGATATTCACGGATACAACGGACGCCAAATACGTGGAAAAACCGTTTCCGCAAGCTTATCATGCCAGGCTCATTCCCGCCTGACTTCCCTCCCCCGGTACGTGAGGGTGGCCAGACACAAATCACATTATCCAACGAGTCGCCAATTCTAATTGTCTCGCGTTCATCTGTCAATCGACTAAACGAGACCATAAAAGCAAACAACAAACAAGGTCGCAGTAAGACTGTTGCTGCAGATGTATTCCGGGGTAACATTATCGTTGCTGAACGCCTTGCTCACCGTGGCGATGTGGAACAACCATATGCTGAGGACCGGTGGTCATCCCTTCGGATTGGACCAGACCAACTTCGGTTCGATGCTCTCGATGCATGCCAGCGATGTCAAATGGTTTGTATAGACCAGTTCACTGGCATCCGGCGTGATGAGCCGTTTTCAACGCTTGCCAAGACACGGAACATTGGCGGGAAGGTCTCGTTTGGCAAATATTCTGCACTCTCTCCTGAAGAACTAGAGGGCTTTGACTCGGAAATACCTGATCGCAGGACCGTGATGGTAGGAGACGTGGTTGTGCCATTATATCAAGAGGATTGAGCAATTACAAGTTTGTTTTTGGCATTTGTGGAATTTCAGCTTGTATTTCTTTGTTGATTCGGTGTCTGATAGTACCATTAACATGCACATTTGTCAATAGCGTAAGTTACATAGTACCAAACGGACTAGGCTGTGACTTGTCTACTGTGATCATTAACACTACAAGCTCCGCTCTAGAACCTTCAATTCTATACCTACTTAGTACTAATATAATTGGCTGTTTCTGTTTGCCTATGTTGCCAGACAATTTCTTTGCCTATTATCTTCAAGAGGTTCCTGAAATGTTTAGAAGTCATAGCCTCGGCATTCAGAAACTTCCTAAGAGACATTTTGAATTTTGTAAAAACGAGAGTGATATCCATCCTGTTGCCTATTAAACAATATGAGATGTTGCAGCAGCCTTGTCTTGGGTTTTGGTAAAAGGCGCCGCAAAGCCATAGGTTTCGTAGCCTTTGGAGTAATCTTTGCCTTCCTCACGCTCTATGAAGTATATATATCAGCAACCCAGCCGTCAGACATGTGAAAATTTGAACTTTATAAGAGTAACTCACCATGCTCAGGTGGAAACATCTCCATTCGATGCTTATAATATCTTTCCCTTAGATCCTTCCCATCACTCCTCGAGTGAAAGGTTACATAAAGGCTCGACCGACTCTTATCAGTCTTGTTCTCAGCCGATCGATGGGCAAGATGTGACCCAAAGATTAACATATCACCCATTTCAAGTGGGATAGAAGTCCATTCATGGGAGTGTTCCCATTCAGGTCTGATTCGACCAGCTTCCGCAAATTCAACTTTCATCTTGTGTGACCCACGGACAACCTCTAGACATCCGTTTTCGGGAGTCGCGGCGTCAATGGCGATATTGGCGGTAATATGTTCGATCCGGCCGATGTGGTCGTAGGCTGGTGCATCCAGGTGCGCTTGGAAGCCGTTTCCCTGGGGCTGTTTGTAGTTGATCTTCTCTTTGAAGAGGAGCATATCCTACAGTTAAGAACTAGATGTTAGCATAGCCCACAATACAGCTTTGGTATTGGGATTTGAGAAATATACATCGCCTGATACTGCTTTCAGAATCTCGGCCAACTGCTCGCCGCAGACTAGTGACTTGAACTCGGGGTGGTAGTCAATGAACCTTTCCGTGCGCATCAGTTGGCGTTCACCGTTGATGTTGATTTCGTCATAAGGCATCCATTTGCCCTTGACACGAGGCCAGGACTGGACTTCTTGCGTCCACTGCTTCAGATCTGCGGGGTCAACGAGTTTATGCTCGTTGGCGCGTAGGAGGAGATAGCCATTTTCGTGGTAAGAAGCTATTTGTTCAGTTGTGGGAGGTGACATACTTGAGTACTTCGATCGAAAGGGTATAAGTATATAGGAAAGTGGATAATGGGTTAATTTGAACCTTGAAGAGGCCTGATCGAGGCGAAAATGTAGTAACGAACGAGATTTTAATAGTTTCGGAATACGTCAACTCCTAGCTTCTTAGCCTGCGGCGCCATTCCGATGACCTGGCATTGAATTACTGCGTGAGTAGATCCTGTGGCATTGCTCAATAAATTCTGTTACATGGAATTGAGTGAAGGTGTTCGCCCCGAAGCCACACAAACCCATGTAATGCAGCACAGAACAACGGACTTCGTGCCGAAAATGAATGCGGTTCGCCCAATCAGGGATATCACGAGTTATTCAACAGGTACATTAGAAGGTCGTTACATGCATGTGAACGGACTTCGTGCCTTGTATAATGTTGCCAATGCTACACGGTTAAGTCATCAAGACACATCCATGACCAACCTCAGAAGGACTCTATTTAAGACCCCGAGAGACCATCGAGTTGGTACAATCAAAATCTAACAAAAGATTTGAAGACGACAATGTCCCAAACCGAACAACCTCTCGCCTCGGTTGAAGAACAAGCCCGAGCAACTATCAAAACATTATTTCGATTTCTGCACGCACAGGGCCAGGGTGACTATCTGGGTGAGGAGGTCACTCAGCTAGAACACTCGCTACAGTGTGCATATCTTGCCACGCAGTCCCCCGAGTATGGAAATGACCCCGAGGTTATCCTGGCTGCACTATTGCATGATGTCGTACGGTTCATCCCGGCGGCCGAGAAGATGAACAAAATGATAACTCCTGACGGCCAGTATATTGGAAGGCAAAGCCACGAGGCTCTAGGCGAGACTTACCTGCGCCAGATTGGGTTCAGTGAGAAGGTGTGCAAGTTGGTTGGTGCACATGTAATGGCCAAGCGCTATTTGGTCGCGACAGATCAAAGCTATTATGATGCATTGAGTGAGACTAGTAAGCAGACATTGAAGTTCCAGGTATGTAACTTTTTACTTCTTATATTCCCCATATCTGAGGTATGTTGACAATGATTAGGGTGGCGGATACACTACTGAGCAGGTCCTGGAGGCGCAACAGGATCCCCTGCTTGAGGCAAAGCTTTCGGTCAGACGATGGGATGATCTCGCAAAGAAGCCGAATTATAAAGTTCCTCTTTTGGAAGCCTATGAGGAACTTGCTTATCAATGTCTTATTGGTGAGTGAATACAGCCTTCTACCAACCAAATATAGACACTGAATACAATAGACTCCCGGTCAAAATCAACCCTGCATTCGAAGGGATATATGTAGCCTACGAACGCAGCCCACAATCGTGATTTCTTTTGATGGCTGAGGCTAAAGACTGGAGATAGAATTTATCTTGTGCTCAATCAGCCAATTTGATATTTTCTTATCTCGACGCCTCTGGACAAAGAGGGGGTCCCATCGATGTATTATAATGTAGCCACCAATTGTCGATATCAGGAAAATTAGTTTGAAAATCAAAGCTTGCCATGTTTTCCATCCAAATTGTATCAAATACTGGGGGCTGTTCCTGGGTAGGAGAAGGACGATACATTCTTTCGTGAACTGTGTAGGTGGACATCTGGCATATACTCAACAGCCGTTCCAAGCCTTTGCTGATTACCACAAGGAGATGGTGTCTATGCATAGACTGGGTGATGTCCCGAAGGGCCACCACAGTCTCAGTGACCAGGGAAATGATCTTGCCCGTATCGATTCTGATCATGAATGCATACTTCGTGGCGACTTTGAGGAGAAAAACAACGGCAAAGGCGATCATAGTATCAAAATATAAAGGAAGCCCATTCATGAACGTACGAAACTCGGCATCACAGACGATCATCTGAAGGATTGACATAGCTGACAACACTCCGGCATTGGCGATCTCCTCCAGTTCAGGCGACATGTATCGTGGTGAACTCTCTGATATCGGCACACCACGAAAGGCGTGCGAGCAAAGGTATAGCTTTGCAAAATGGAAGTGAAAACCAACACCCTTTTGTGGATAATTTCCGACATTCTGATTCACTTTGAAGCTTTCGTTCCAATCTGCAAACCACGTATCCAGAGATATTGAGAATCGCCGCAGTTGAGGTAGTGTCTGAGGTGCAATAGAGGTATCAACATCAACCCCGAAGGTGTCAAACACTCGACCCAAGATTGACCATTCCTTGACCTGACTGATTAATCTAGCGTCATCTTCTGTGGCGTGTTCAGTGTCCAGTATCTGACTGGCCGACTCGATTATAAACCCTTCCCTGGACATCGGAGGTCGACCATATGCGATCGAAAAGTGGTGGTCGCATACATAGACGAGATAGTATAGTCGAGCTTGAAGATACCCATCGCGGTCTCCTCTGAGGGCTTTGTAGATACCACTATGAAGATTAATGTCCGATGAAATACGAACAGCTAGTTCTGTTAGTTTCGCTTCGCCAGAGGAATGTACATATGGAGGTACATACCATTTCCGATCAAAGCCCAGGAAATTTCATGCAACCAAAATGCACCGACACAGAGCCCACGAATGTCATCTTCGTTCACGTGTCTTGAAAAAGTTTGAGCTGCGACAAGATTTTTATATTCAGCGTAGCAAGCTTCAAAAAGATGGCCGAGGGTTTGAGAATGCAAAGCAGCCACAGTACAAACAGCGGCCGTTAATAGTGGGGATGCGATCCGAACCGAGTCCAAACTGATATGGTCACCAAGAATGCGATAGAGAAAATGATCAAGTCTGAGATGATATGTTTCGAATAACGCAACGGCTTGGCGTAAGGAGATAAGACCCGTGGATATCAAATCTGGACGACGTGCAGATGATAAATTGTTTGAGAGACCTGCCTTCCCATTGTCTGAGACACAAGAGGCCGGGATGGAAGCTGGGCCGCCCCGGGGATCCATTATTACTTCCCATGTCTGAGGTGGCTCATGGTTCTCTTTTGGCTGAGATGGTTGGCTCGAGGGGCAGATTTCCTCTGCTATAACTTCTTCATTGGTAGATTCAACTGGTAGACACAAATGATCTTGCGTTCCAGGAGCAGCTTGTGACTCGGGCACGTCAACTTTGGCAGCAATTTTTGCAACAGCCTCTTCTAGCCGTCGCATCTTTTGTACTACGGCGCCTTTCCATCTAAACACTATTAGGAAATGGATGCTAGTCCAAGAGATTTGTTGTACTTACGTGACATCATCTTCCAGTAATGTCTGCAAGCTTCGGTTCACGTTGCAAGGGAGACCTCTCTTCTTACACCGCGAACATGGCATCTGACCCTCTCGCATATGACATTTGACCTTTTCCGCATATCAGTTACATGCTTTGTTATCTTCGGTAATCAAACTAACCTTTTGCTTGCGACATGCTACACAAGCAGTAATCTTGCGAGTAATATCCGGTGGCTTTCGATCACCGAATGATTCTCGCAAGGCACTTACGGCTGGCGGAGAGGCTAGTTCGATATCCATAATGTTTGTTCAACTAAGGCTGCAACACAGTGGTCGTACTGTCTGAATTTGCAGTGTTTGCATCTGCCAGTTATTAATTCCAGTTAATATAATCAAGATCACCTAAACACAGAACACAATGAACATTCACATCTGAACAATGCGGACTTCGCACCGAAGATATACTTGGCACATTTGGAGTATGGGATCCACGTGGGGGCGATGCGAAACCCTAACTGGTCCCTCCGGTCTCTGGTCTGTTTTTTAGTGTCCCCGTGGTAGCTTTGGCGTTGCTCATTGAATCTTCACTCGGGGTCTCTCATGTACGACATAAACCTATCTCACAGAAATGCTAACCGTACTTCTCCAAATACTAATGCTTTGGAGAGGTATTCCCTGTATTAGATGCAGTGCTAAAGAGTATATAATTTCACTACTCGGGCCAAAAAAAAAAAGCAATGCATATCTCCCGTTCGACCCAAGGCTGGAACCACATTTTGTTTTCTCTTAATCGTTTCTACTCTTATCGATCTCAAGAATTATTTTATTCATTTCAATGGCATCTCTGGGAGCCAAATTGAGGTTTGTCATCACGGCGGGCGTCGGATTCTTCGCGGATGGCTATCTCAACCTGACAATTGGACTTGGCAAGTGACTTCAATTGATTCAATGAGATCGAATTATTAATGTTAGACAGTGGTACCGATCCTGGGTTACCTATACTTCCAAGATGGAAAGGTACCGACAGTTGACAGCGACATCATGAAAGGTAGCCTCAGCCTGGGCATGGTCGTTGGCCAGCTTATTTTTGGAGTGTTGAGTGATGTTTGGGGTCGTCATTCTATATATGGGAAAGAGCTCCTCCTCACTATATTTGGAACATTGATGGTAGTTTTGTTGCCTTGGAACCGAATGTCGGCTCAGTCTGTGACGGCATGGATTGCAGTATGTCGTGTTGTGACCGGGGTAGGAATTGGAGCTGGTAAGCCATATCCCTTCGAAATAGAGACATAATGGGTCTAATCCGAGGAAGATTATCCATTATCTTCATCTTTGTCGGCAGAAAAGTCACCGTTTGGCTCACGTGCTATCCAAGTGTTGACTGTCTTTTCGAACATCGGCCTTGGTAATATTGCGGCCAGCATCGTGTTTCTGATCTTGCTCAAGGCATTCGAGGAGTTAATAGCCCACAACCTAAGCCATCTTGAATGGGTCTGGCGTTTGCTATTAGGCATTGGAATTGTGCCAGCGGTCTTCACTCTTTATGCCCGGTTGACGATCAGGGAGACACTGCCCTACAGGCAATGTGAGACTACCCTCATTTTTGTATCTTGAAGATAGCTAATACTGTTTAGACGTCTGTGATGATGCTGCTGGGCAGAGGCGCACACTCAAGCAGCAGTGGGAGGACTTCCGCGAGTACTTCGGTCACTGGAAACATGCTAAAGTGCTATTTGCGACGTCAGCCTCCTGGTTCTTATTGTAAGTTAAAATTGTCCTTGAAAAGAAAATCCCCCAAATTAATACATATAGTGATATCGCATACTACGGTATCAATCTCAACCAAAGCATTATACTGGCAAGAATCGGTTATGCAAGCGAAAAAACACCATGGCGAACCCTGTATAACACCGCTGTGGGTAATATAATCATCCAAGCAGCAGGATATCTCCCCGGATTCTACGTCGGTATCTTCCTTCCTGATCGTATTGGTCGTGTTCCCCAACAATGCTGGACATGTATCATGGTGTGCATCCTCTATGCCATATGGGCTGGAGTCAGCACACAGAGCGTCCACACCCCAACAGCTGGTTTGATGATTATATTTGCCCTCTCACAGTTCTTGCTTACCGTTGGTCCTAATTGCACGACCTTTCTGATTCCCGCAGAAGTGTTTCCAACGCGTGTTCGAGGCACAGCATCCGGAATATCTGCTGCTTCTGGAAAATGCGGTGCTATTCTAACTTCATTTGCTTTCGGTAGTGTTGAAGATGCAATTGGTTTGGAAGGTGTCCTTGGTCTGTTCTCGGGAATCATGCTGCTCACTGCCCTTGTCACTTTGCTGATACCCGAGACCAAAAATCAGACACTGGAGGGTATTGAAAAAGATGAACCCATAGAACAAGGGAAGCTATCATCAAGCTCTCAAACTCTAGCTATGTTAGTTGGCGCAGGGAATAGGTCTCATGTCAAGGATTTAGTCTACACCCCCAAGTAAATGACTTTCACTTCAATTCTCCCATTCCTTTATAAAGGTAATAATATCACCTAAATTTGTTAGCAACTTTTCGTGGTTTGTTTGTAGTGTATTTGTAGTGTTTGCAATACGTCATCAGGGAATGCGAACTTTCAGGTTTCTGCAACACCGACCTACCCAACATTCTGAAAATATCCTTGATACCAACCTTGGGAGAAAGATTGATACGACCTATGGACTATTTTCTACTATCTTTTCAGGAGGAGGTATATTAAAACAAACGATATATTCCGAGGTATGAGTTATACCTATCTCGATAGTATATAAATTGTTAGTCTTTGATTGGCTCGTGAATAACCCCGCTTATGGACCCGCTATGATCAACATCACCTGATGACCTCAGTAGGGTCAAGTAACTGTTCACATTTTACAACATATTGACCCTTGTCTGTTGACTAACCTCTTGAAGAGATTCTTTGACATGGCAGACCGGTTACACTCCCGCGAAGGGTCCGACACTTCGCTCAACAATGCATCCATTGCTTCCCCGCGATCTAGCACCGAATCCCGCTCTCCCCCTACACGAAACCAACTCCGTGTTTCACACATACCAGCAGCAAATCACCAGCACAGACAAAGCTTGAGCGAGTCACTTCGTGGCCCACCCGGGTCTCCCCGCGCACGCCGACAGCCGTCCCTCCCACAGTCCGCCATCCAGAGCCTCATCGACAATCCCCCGCCACCGAAGAATAGTGATCCTGCCTTTGTTGGTCGTGATTGGAGACAGATCTCAGTCGGCGAGCTGGTCAGCCCGGATGACCTGAAGTTTGTGGAGCTTGATACAGGCATTGAAGAGGCGACAAATGTGAGTATCATTACGAAGGCAACACTACCTTGTCCGTTTTGGACTAACATACTGGTCTAACTAGATCTTGATTGATTCAGGCGCGGCCGTATTGTTGATCCGCGAGACCCCTCAATCCACTTCTGCGGTAGGCACATTTGACTATGCAGATCTGAACTCTTATCTCCTGCTAGCAGCAGGGCTGACACACCCCGATGAAGCGCATCAAGCGTCGTATGACGAGCTAGCTAAGAAGGCTCACAATGGTGTGCCAATTCCGCTGAGAGATGTCAAGAAGTTCGGCATGGAGAAGGAGCCGCTGATCAACCTGCCAACTTCAGCCAATGTCTTGACCGCTGTAGAGATCTTTGGTGGAGGTGTTCACCGGGTGGTGGTGGTCAATGAGTCAAATGACCAAGAAGTGGTCGGAATCTTCAGCCAGTTCCGACTGGTCAAATTCCTTTGGGAAAATGGTCGCAGCTTCCCTATCATTGAAGAGCTATATCCAAAGGCTCTGCGTGAGCTGGGGGTTGGATCTCATGAAGTGATCTCTATCAAGTAAGTTGTTTTGATGAATTCTTGAAGAGCAGTCTAACCTCCATTTTGCCATTTGCAGTGGTGATAAACCCCTCTCCGATGCCCTCCATCTGATGAACAACGAGGGTATGTCCTCAATCGTAGTTGTTGATAGCTACTTAAACGTGCTTGGGAATATCTCCACAGCAGATGTTAAGGTATGTGACGAGCCATGTTGGTTGGCAAGATTTACTTACCCTTTCACAGCTTTTGACCCGATCATCTTCATTGCCACTTCTTCAAAACACCTGCACTCACTTCATCTCGGTCATTCTGTCCACACGGGGTTTGATTGAGGGTAAAGACTCATTCCCGGTCTTCCACGTCAATCCTGGATCGACACTGGCTCACACAGTCGCCAAGATCGTGGCAACTCGATCACATCGGTAACTACTGCAGTCATTTGAGATACAAACAGAACATGTACTAACTGTTGATTTAGTCTCTGGGTGACCGATCCATTATCTCCAACATCCTCAGGACCGCCAACTCCATCGCATTCTTCAGTACACATCCCTCTTTCCAACAGTGTCAGCCCAGCTCCCGGATCGTATACTGCACAGTCACCACCGCCATCTCCTTCTGTACCTGTGACACCTTCTGCACAGCCTTCTCAATACACCACCCCTCACCTACCAACTCCTAACCTCCCTTACACATACCCAGCTCCAGGCGTGTCGGTGCCAGTGCCATCGCCTGTGTCGCATTCTATTCCCTCCTCGACGCTAGATGGAGCCCGACTGTCCGGTCGTCTAGTTGGAGTAGTCAGCTTGACTGACATCCTGAATTTGCATGCCCGCGCTAGCGGGTTGAACCCAGCTGACCCCGCCGAGTCACGTAGCCGCCGCCGACGCAGTAGTTCCTCGAGCCAAAGTATCCGCCGCAGCGGCGACATTGGCCGGGAGCTTTTCAGTCGTGGCATGTAAAAGTGTACATTGCGTTTTGCACTTGGGCTCTGTCGCAGAGCATCTTCTCAGTACACCTGTATTCTGAAACCCAACATATGCACTCGCTCTGTCCGATGTGCTTGGGTTTGTTAAAAGCCCAATGCCAGTCATCCCCATCAATCAATCATGAATTTGTTACTTCATCAGTCATACAGGATAGGACGCAAGCGAATGGACAAATTTGGTCAGCCTCTCATTATCGCCCTCAGCAGGGGATATGATATCCGTCGTGGATTAGCATTACCGAACAAACTTGGAACTTCAATTACCTACATTCCTACGTAGTAGCTCGCGTGCATTCCAGTAGACCCTGCCATTTATCACTGAACTTTGAGCCTTTGCCTTACCAGATGAACCAAATCCTCACCAAGCTAGGATCGACCATCATCGGACAAGATCGACCAACCCCACGTCTCAGTGCTGATCAGCAAATCCCGTCGTAGTCCGAGGACAGCCGAATATTCACCCAATTTTCAAGAATCTCCACAAAAGAAAACTGTAAAATAGCACCCCAATCCTCTCTACCCGGAGAAACATATCCGAAATTCGCAAAGCCGGCTTATTGTGTCCCATCCAACACTCCCTAGTGGTGCAAGCACCACACACAATGTTATCCACCCCTACACATCTGGGACCAGCTTTGCTCCTCGTATTCTGTCGTTTAGATGTGCAATTTGCGTTAAATTAGGTTCGAGCCTGACTCGCATAGAGGCGTTGATCAGCTGCAGGTTTCCCGAGTGTCCGCGGGTATATCACGGGTGTGTGCATAGATCTGGTGGAAGCTGGTTAGCTTTCTGGCTCTCATTGGCCCATCATATTTGCTAACCCTCATGTGTGGCATCGCCGCATTAGGGGTGTCTGTCGAGTTTTGACTTGATTAGGCTAATTCGGCTGATTTGGAGAAGATATTGCTTTGAATTAAGCTTCCAAGGGCGTAGAGATATTGATTTTGAGAAGATACGTAATTTTCTATGTCACGAGGAGATTATTCTACTCGAAGGCCCAATGATATCAATAACACTAATTAAACAATAAGTAATCGTGCCAAGCGCCCAATATTGGAGATATGCTGGGCGCTTGGCACGATAATGTTCAAGATCGTCAACTATCTAAAACCTGGGGAAGACCATCCCACGCCTTCAAGCCACCTCGCCTGTTCCCCACCTCGCCCATCTAGTTGGGTCTCGTATTAAGCCACTTTCTACTCCACCTGCACCGAGAGACTGGACCTGGTGCTGATCATCGAGGGTGGCATTTCCGGCTATTCTGAAGGGTTCTCTTTATTGGGAAAGAATTCGAGGGTGGTTTATAGAGGATGTTTCAGGGGGGGTCATTTTGAAATTAGTATTTACAGCCCCTGTCGGAGAAGATTATTTGATCAAGTTCAATTTCCAAATGGGCCGATCTGGACTCGATGGCCTGATCAGTATCAATAAAAGGTGGATGCCTGTAGTCAGGCCACTCGAAAATACTTCGAATGCAGGTACGCAAGCCCTAATGAGGGTACAAAAGACGAGGTCCAAACAAAACTCGCCAATTACTACTCCGTATCCCTCAGAAATCACGATCCACCACCCATGGGCCTATCAACAACTTTGGAAGTCACTCGTATACTGATCTGGAATTTGACAGGCCACCCACTGGACCCCCAAGCCACAAAACCGGCATTAAAACTGATAAGCGAAATAAAAAAAATAAAAACTTTAGGAGAATCGCCACCAATCACCCCTCCGTAGCCGTGCACGCAGCGTTGCAATCAGCCTAACCGCAACCAACTGGAACCGTTGGCCTAGGCTAGTATCCATGGTACCCGGGATGTTGGAGCCCCGTCAGATCTGCACGGGGGTTCCCTCTCTACTCCACTAAGTGAGAAGAGTTAGAGTTCTGTTACTTAAGGGGGTCTATTTAGCCTGCAGAATTTTGTGTGCCGACAATACCCAGCTCTTATCCATTGGTACACTGCCCTCGGACTTGTTTTTCAACCATGGTAGAGGTGTCGATGGATTCTATACTTTTCATGGGTCAGTGCGGGCGCTAGTTGATTGTCAACCAATTAAAATCCGAGTTTGGCTGCCAAAGGCCGACCGAGCTGCAACCTTAACCCCGCAATAATCTGGGATCCTGCAGGTCATTTTTCAATTTTCATTTTTCTTACAGTTGGTTACCTACTTTGGGGGTTTTCAGGTGGGTTATCTATTTGTGGATGAAAAATATATTCGAATTCTCACCTTATTATTCATTATAGCATTGCTAGGGACTAGTTAGATACCAAGGTATTGCGCTCGATAAAAAGGAATAAAAAAATAAAAAAAAGATTGTCGATCCTGCACGATCGCCGTTGATCCGATCTTGGGGAGACAACAATCAATTCCGCGCACGGGGCACTTCAATTTTAATTTACTTTCCCTCGACGTCAAATTTTACGAGATCAGATTGAGATATGAAATGAAGGTAATTTAGAAGGCGAAGCAGAGAAGTAGAGTTCCCCTCGCGACCAAGAGAATAGAACAAAAGTACATGTTTCCATATTCACGCAAGGCCTGGGCTAGGATCTACTGAAAGCCCTGGAGCTAGGGCTACTATGACATAGCGCCGTCTACCCGTGGATGTGAGGCGATAACGTGACACCTGGGAAAATGAAGGCTGAAATTTCCACGGTTGAGGATGGTCTGATTGCTGGGACAAGATTAGGTACTTGGGCTGTGAGGCATTGGGCTAGTTGGGACGTCAAATAACTCATAGCAAGGTTGTGTGTCTTTCATTGTGGGATACATCTACTAGCTAGAGACTTACTGCCAGTCCATTTTAAAGTTTTACTAAATGTAGCATTCTGAAGGGTGTTGTATGTAAATCAATATTGCTCGAACCCAACTTAAATAACGACTGGTCAAGGGAACATTAAAGAAAGGTAAAAATTTTGGGTGATGTCTGGGTGGATTGGGAGAAGCTATAGCTATAGCTCTACCTATAGCTTTAGTGGGCACGGCCCGGTGGAGCATAAAGTCTCAGACCAGATTTATCCCACAGAAGAAAATGACGTGCCAAAAATCGCGCAGTGGGCTCTGAGGGGCGTATAGTAGAGAATATTGAGTGCTCCGGATTAGGACGTAGACCTGATGGTCGAGGATCGATGCAACGTCAAACCAAAGGTAAAAAATTGATATGGAGATTGAAGAAAAAAAAGTGGATACCAAAGTCAGAGAGTTGAATTTGTTTCGTTTTACTGTAAGGAGAGTAGTGTAAAATTAAACAATATATTCATTCGATACTCATAAACATCCCCAGCCATTACCCTTATGGAGGATATTAGAATGAGAGATAAATATGAAAAATAAATATAATACAGGAGCAAATGTGCAAAAAAAGCCACCCCCATGTATAAACGAAATGAAAAGATTAAATAAAAACCAACAACTACCTGGGTATATCAGGTATCATAGATCATAAAAGGCATGATAGATGAAGTTAACAAGAGACGCTGGTGAAATCATCAACGGCGATGAAATCGTCAAAGCCAAAAGGTTGGTCACGATCGGAAAGCGGAACAGTCGAGTTACCCAGGTGGGAAGCAAACTGACTGAAGTCCGTGAAATCGGGATCCATCCCCTCATGCGAGACCATAATGCCATCACCCCCAACCTTCCCAGCGGGCGATATGGTAGCATGCGCGGCAGTCGTCGGCGACAGCGGGGTGTTGGGAGTGGGACAGAAGTCCGGAGTGGAGTGAGTGCCCGCTGAGAGGGCCTCGATCTTAGGAGAGCCAATACTAGAGGGAGCAATCTGGGAGTGGGAAAGGTGTGTGCTCTGCGTAAGGAGATGGAGGTCGTGGAAGTTGTTCGAGGGCTGGGATTGGCCGCGCGAGTGACCATGGGTAGGGCCGTGGCCGGTGGGGCCCGAAATGGATGCTGAGGGAAGCGGTGGAGCCGTGTGCTGCTGCATAGGCAATTCCGGTGCGGATGCAAGGCGATCTCTGAATTGATGCATTTGGACTGCGGTGTCGTTCATCTGAGCCTGCTGCATCATTTGCTGCTGCCACATTTGCACGGCATGCGTGTCTGTGTGGGGTTGCCCGGGTGTTTGGTTCTGCTGTTGCATCGAGGCCCATGCGGGTACTTGGGAGTTCCAGGTTGGGGTTGAGGCTTGTTGGTTCATGTAGGCTGGGATTTGTCCTGTCGAGTCCCCTGAGGCAGAGAACATACCGGAGTACGGCGTCTCAGACCGGTCCATGCAGCCCATGTAGGGCTGGGCGTTCGGGTCGTATGATGCCGTGGGCGATAGTGCGTAGCTATCATTTGTTGGCATTGGGCTTCCCATTGAGCCGGAACCCTGAGAGAAAGAAGAGCGGATATTGGATAGATCCAGGCTCATCTTGCGTGGACCCATATTGACTGATGGGCGGGGGTGCATGTGGCTTGCTCGCCGGCTGTGGATAGAAGATGTATTGAATTGAGTGCGAGCTGCAAATGCGGCCAGTAGATGGTTTGTGAACTGCTTTTCAATTTCGTTGTTCTGATGTTGCAGCATGAGAATGCGCTTTTCTTGATACCGCTCATCGACCTCTTCATACATGGCTTCTTTATCAACAATCTCCTTGGTGATGTGAAAAGCCTTGCCCGTACGCTTCTTATGCAACATAGAAGCCCGGTTAGCAGATTCCAGGCGAGCATCTAAGCTGCGATCCTTTCTCCGTGATGCAGCAATAAAGGCTCTAGGCGATTGTTAGTAAGTTGGTATTTCTACTTATCTAGTTCACATACCTTTCTTGGTTCTCCTCCCGCGAACGGGGGATAGGGGTGATATCCTGGTCTAAATCTGATAGAGGCATGGTACCGTAAGGAGTTATGTAAGAAGAGAAAAGAAGAGGGGAAAGGTAAGTTAAATACTAAAAAGGCTTGAGGGGGGTACGAGTGTCAAAAGTTAAGCCCAAGCTAGGAGGGGCCAGAACCAAGGAACCAAGCCGATCACAGTTTGGGCGCTTA